TGTGTGGTCAATAAGAGCACACTCTGCTCCGTGGGGATCGATGGGAGGTCAGGCAGGCAGGGTCACAAGCTGTTCAGCAGTGCCAGGGGTGTTTTCCACTGCACCTTGGTGACACTCGTCGAGCTCACGCAGCAGAAAATCAGCAGTTTTACGCCTCTGCACTTTTAAATAAAACAATCAGGGGGCTGGTGTTTTTTCCCATCAGCTCTCTGGTCAATATTTATTTCTCTGTCAGAGCTACAGGAATCGCTTTTGCTACAAATTGATTCCAGGGGTAATTGTTCCTTGCCTGATCCCAGCGGAGTTTTCTTGGGGTGAGATCAACAGCGAGGCAGCAACGTGCAAGAATAAGGGCTGCAAAAATAAGGGCATGGCTGATACCTGGGTCAGGACTGTGAGGGACTGGCCCCATCCTGAGGAGAGCCTGTTGCCAGGTCACCAGTAGGTAAATCAGCTCCACTCTGGTCACTTCAGGATGAGAAGCTGCTCCTTGGAACACCGTCGTAGTTCAGCAGCTGAGAAACAGCAATTCCTGCTTCCACACCTGGTACAAAGGATTCCGGGTTTGCACCTTCCCAGAGAGATCCTGAGCCCAAGAAATGGGAGGAAGGTCTGGTACCTTGCTCCTGAGAGCACACAGCCCTCAGAAAAAGGCCTCCCTACCAAGCCAAAAGAGATTTTGCCAAAATAACTTGACATTGTTCTTACAGACTCACAAAGAGGTCAGCTGTGCTCTGGGCTCCAGTGAGAACAGCAGCTCTGCCAGCTCCATTATTTTCCCTCATTAGCTTTTCCTGATGTCCTGCTTTCCTTTTCTTTGAAACCAGGGCAATGGCAGAGTTTGCTTTTGAGCTCTAATGTTTCCCCCCCCCCCACCTCGGGAGCTGAGATTCCCTCTTTGCTCAGCAGCAGCTGGATGATCACTTTTGGAGAGCCAGAATGATTTTTTAAGGAATCTCAAATCCACAACCCAACTTAAAAAAAAAACACCACCATAATTTCCCTTTTGTAAAGATGTGGGTTCCCAGTGGAGAACAAGACAGAGCCAAACCCCACATCCATCCTCCACCAACAAGTCTGAACATGTTTGAGGTGTACGTGATGAGAAGATCAGTGGCCCAGAAAAATCAGCAGATGGCCTCATATTTGGCTGCTTGTAAGGCAGGAGGTACAAAACCTGCATTTTCCATCTCCCTTCTTCCAGCCAGCCCTTTCCTGGAGGTCTCTGCAGCACATCTGAGGTGTAAAGGGGGAATAAAACATGCCTGAGCATGTTTGGAGCTGGATAGACCCCGAAATGTCCCACATGGAAACTCTCTCTCATGTCCCACTGAAACCCCCTCCATGGGACAGTGTCTCCAGTGCCTTTCAAGGGGATTTGCTTTACCTTTGAGCTTGCATGGTTCCCTTTTCCCACTAGTCCAGCTAAATCTCTCAGAGGCCATCTCATGCCTCCATCAGACACCTACCTGGATTTCTCTTTTTTAGGGGGAAAAAAACCCCAAACAACAAAACAACAAAAAGCCACCTTTGAATGGTGACATTCCAGTCAGGGATCACAAATCACTGCTGTTCACCAGCTGAGGGTCAAGCCTTGTGCTGCTCATGGTGCTCTGATGGGATGCTCCTTTCTTTCTAGGGCTGGAAATTGTTGTGTGTCCCCAAAACCTCAGTCTTGGCTAAAACTGCAGCTCTCGGCTGCCCTTTGTTAAGGGCCAAGGCAGGGCTCAGACAGCCTCTCCCTCAGGGCTGCTTGGGGTGGGCTGCTCTCTCCCTGGACATGCCCTGCCAGCTCCATGCCCAGAGACTCATCCTGGCCTGGCTCCAGCTATCTGCAGGAAACGGGGACTGTGCTCATCCAGGTTTGGGGCTGGTTAAGAGAAACCTCAGAACAGTGACACTCCTTGTTCCCCAGGCCCACCCTGGGCACGTGAAGCCCCAGTTATGAAGGTGTTAAAAATCAGAGGGCTGCTGGTGGACCTGCAGAGAGGCTGCACACAGATATCCACTGTGGGATGCCTGGAAAAAGCACCAGACAACCACAGGATCAAACAAACCCCAAAGACTGCAGCGAAGCCCGGAGACAGCAGAGGATTCTCCCCCCTCCCTCCAGTGCCTGGGGTCAGATCCTAATTCGGGGTCTCTTCTGCAGCTCCAAACGCCGCCGGTGAATTTGGAATTTGCGCCGTACAAACAGGACTTTGCACGGGAGGAAGGTGGTGGCGCAGCCACAAACAAAGTTTCCCAAGTCCGTACCAGTTCGTGTCCCACGACAACCGAACTAAAACAGGCGGAGTGCTGCCCATCTCCCGAGCTCCACATGGAAGGAGAGCAGCTCTGATGAGTGGTGCTATATTTATAACAGCTGGCGAGGCGCCCAAATTCCTGAAAACATTTTCTTCCGAGCTTTGGGTCCGTTCGGCGGCGAGCTCGCTCTTGTGCAAAACGGCACTGGCACCTAGTGGCCGCCGGCTCCAAGCGCAGCATCCCAAAAAGTTTTCAGTCGGCACCCGGTCGCTGTGTGCCAGCTGCAGGAGACAGCCACGATGCTGTCAGAGAGCAAATAAAACCAAGGGATTCTCTTGCCGCGGCTGCTGGATTTTCTAGACAAAAAATTAGGGAAAGTCGCAAAACCCCCTGCCCCCTAAACTTCCAAAAGCCTGTGCCCGCTGCTGCCAGCCAAATAAAACAGCTGCTAAGAGGTGTCTCACAGAGCTGTCTGCTCTGGGGCACGGGGGGGACTCTCCAGACACCCAAATTCTGCCTCTCAACACCTCCTCTCCCATAAGAAACTCCAGCTTCTTAAAAACTCTCTTTCGGGGTCAGATGCTCACGTTTTAGAGGGTGGATCTTACCCACGAGCATTTTAACTGTGCAATTCAAGTTTGCTTGGTTAAACCTGCTCAGTGCTACTGAAAGAGATCCACAGTTAATGTCATGCAATAACAGAGACAAAACTACCAGAAACAAACAAACAAACAAAAAAGAAATACCACAGTGGGGGGGAAAAAGTGAAACACCATTTCCTTTTTCCTGGTGTATTTCTTTTAGGAAAACCAGAGCACTCCTGTGCAATTCACTGTGGTTTATGCAGCGTAAGAGGAACAGCAAGTGGAGAGAGAGAGAGAGACTGTTATGCTGGGATTCATTAGGCAGCACCATTTCCAGCCCAAAAAGCAGTCCCTGTGTTTCACACAGGTGCTCTGACCCTCTTTGAAGGGGCTGTGATCACACACGGTCCCACCTGGAAACATGAGCAAAGCGGGACAAACTCTGCAGTGAACTTTCTGCATCATTTTACAGCCTGAGTGTTTCTGCCCTGGGCAAACTGATCCCACGGCACAGCAGCATCCTCTGCCCCTCCCTGTATCCCACAGTGCTGCCCACAGAGTGATTTTGCCAAGGAAAGCAGGGCAGGAGGGCTGGCTGGGCAGGTTACTGGGAAAGGACATCGGGAGCATCCTCAGGGATTGGATTCCCAGCGATGTTCTTTCAAAGCCCTCTCTTTCCTGGCTCCATATTGCGAGTGCTTTGAGCTCCTCCGGGTGGGGATCTCTGAGACTGATTGCAGCTGGTTTAAAATGAATAATTCATCCTCTCCCACTGATGTTAAAGAGAGGCGAAATTATCTGATTGATGATTCTCTGAAGAATTAAAGAGATTGCATACAAAATTGGTACACATTATTGGAGCTTATTAAACATTTACTGTCAGGTCCTAGAAAAAAATCCAGATCTGAAAGGTGTGTTTTCTCTGGTATGTGTAAACATCCTTAATTTTGATCTTTTTGATGTGTCCCAAAGTGATATTTAGAGGGTAAAATGCCATCTGCTGCCCCTTTGTTGTGGCTGGAGGGCTGGGCAGGAGCTTAACACAAGAAGAGTGGACAAAGTCAGCCCCAAAGTCTTTCTCACCCAGCATCTGGTCTGTGCCACAGATGTGTGAGGTCTTCAGGTCATAAAAGCAGCACAAACACAGGTAGTCCTTCCAGACACTCAGTGGCCTCCAGTCCATCTGTAGTTTCTTGGGCCACTGAGAGCTTTCTGAGGGGATTCTCCTCCAAAAGCTCGCCCAGCAAGCTGAAATTTCAGAACCCACTCGTGGTGGGCAGCACTGAGCCCACCTGGCACACCAGTCACTTCAGAAGTGACACTGGTGAAGGAGAATAAATAACACAGACGTTTCTTTCCAGAAGGAAAAAAAAAAATGCCAACTGTTTCAAACTCTGAGTGGCTGACCTTCCTCTCCTTGCTTGAGGCCTGGGAGGTGGGAGCCCACACAGCCACTCTCAGCAGGCACCTCTGAAACTGGAACCCCTGATTTACGGAGAGCTCTGGGCAATTCTCTTCCCGTGGTGCTGTTGTTATCCTCCAAAGGATTAAATTAAATGATATTCCAGCCTTCCTGATGAATATCTATCCTATTTAACCCTTTGTCATCCTAAGAGGTCAGCTTTGCACTTCAAGCACGCTTGAGGAATCTTCCCTTCTGATGCCTTGGGAATTCAGCAGCTCTGAATTCCAGTTTTATGGACTGGGCTCAATTTTATGGACTATTTTATGGCCTGGATTAGCTCCCAATATGCACTAATTCCCTCAGAGAGATCCTATTCACCATCAATATGTGCTTGTTTAATGACTGAAGAAAAAGTTACATCTTTTATTACAATAAGAATCCACTGCCATGAGATCTGGCCAGGACAGGAACCGCTTGAATGAGAACACACGAGGAGACTGAACTGCAGCTAAAAGCCAAAACTTTGCAGGAAGCTGAGCTTTGCAAAGCAAAGGATGAGCAGCAGCACTGGAGGGACAGCAATGATGTACAGAGCCACGGGTGCCCCAAAAAAACCCTTCCAGAACATCACAGAATCACAGAATATCCTGAGCCTGAAGGGACCCACGAGGATCATCCAAGTCCAACTCCTGGCCCTGCACGGAACCCCCCAGATATCAAACCTCCTGCTCAAGGGAAACAATTCCTTTAATGCCTGAGATCAGCTATGGAACTGTGATTTCAAAGGCCGAGGAGGAGCCTTCGAAGGGAACGGTGATGGTGCGGGTGAGGAGCACTCTCTTCTTGTAGTGCCCGAAGTAGCGGATCCGGTACGTCCCTGGCTCTGTGCCAGCTGGGATGTGCCACTCGATGCTCACATTGCTCTGACTCAGGGATCCTCTGCTCCAGTAAAACCTAGCAAACAAGCCAGAAACCTGCAGTCAGCAGGAAACCCCACTTTTCGCTTGTTCCAGCGGCCCAAGAGCTCGCCAAGTGGAATGAGATGAAAGCACTCCGGTTAAGGACATTTTAAGAGCTTCTTTTGACCTTTCCTCGTATATTTAGGCTACCAGAGTAGCAGCCAACAAGCCAAGTCAAAGCCCAGCAGGGCTGAAAAACAGCTGGAAACATGGGAACACAAGTCAGGGGTCTTTTTGGTAGATGAAGAATATTTCTACCCCTGTGTTCTTCCATTTCCAACTCCACATCACAACCCTGTACAACATCACCCCGTGAGCAACATTCACCAGCTCAGCCCTCCCTGTGTAGGGGGAATGCTGAGCAAAGAGGAGGAGTACTCACTACAAGTGAGATAAGCACCCCCATTTCAGGACCTTAATTAAAGGAAGGGGTTGAACAAAACATCTTGAATAAATTTTTTTTCACATACCAGTCTTGCTGAGATTGAAATGAATATTTACAAATGTGACTGGATGAAAAACTGACTTTTGGTGCAGCTCTGAAAGGTGACCCCACCTTTGCTGCTTAATGGATGTTTTCCCTGAGGACTGACATCCCTAACCTCAACTTTTCTTTCTTGCAAACTTTTTAAATTGTTGTCTGTATCTCCTCTGTGATGTACAACAGACCCAGACAGCTTTTCCCAGTGAAAATCCTCTGAGTCTCTCCTATTTTCCATTTGGCATCCTGTTCATCCACATGGTGTGACAGATGGATGGATACAGGCTATGAACAAGCTGGACCCCAAACCTCCTGTAATTCTTGCCCTTCCTTCTGCACTTCCCAAACTTCTAAGCCTTCGTTGCAGGTGCCAGAGCCAAGGGGAACACCAGTTTTTGTGGTCTTGACAAGTTAACCACCCAAATATGGACTGATCCATCCCCAGAAAGCACCAACTGCAGGGTCAAGACTCTGAAATCAGGGAGCTCTGAAATGAAGGCCTTCAGGCTAAGTTTAAATTACTCCCTGGAGTCTGTGGAACAGTGAAATCTGCTCAGGGCACCCACCTGGTGTCCCAGGAGGCATCATTCTGCACCACCTGCCAGGTGCCTGAAGTGTTGGTGTGCCTCTCCACCGTCAGGAAGTTGTGTTCAGTCTGGAATAAAAATAGCAGAGTCAGCCAGATGCTGAAGGTACAGGCGTGTCCCCACCTCCTGTGTCACTGTAAAGTGGAGAAGGGCCTGTGCTTCTGCCTGCTTCACTGGCAAATGGGGTACTGACTGGCACTTACTGTGGTACTTACTTCTCTTTCACTGCCAAATCCCAATTTAGCTAATAAATGATGCAAAGAACTTATCATTAAAAAGAGAATGGACGAGTGAGGTATTTGCTATCAGTGTCTGTGCAAGGGGATTGATGGGACAAATTCTTTTCTAATTTTCTTTGTTTTATTAAAATAATGCACCAAGGTGATAGGATGGAGACTAAAGCCCACGTTTGCAGTGCCTGGATGGCACTGAGAGTGTCTGGCCTCACACACGACAGGGTTGACTTTGACTTCAACAGTGTGAAGAGTTCATGAACAGCCCAACGTGGCCAAATTCAGTTCTCTGCCCCAAAAGCACCCTGGTGGTGGGAATTCCCAAAGCACACACCTTCTTCTGAACCCCCAGCAAAGCAAAAAGCACTAACTGAACATCCACTGATCCCACATATCCCCAGTTCCAGGGCGGCTGCGTCGCATTTACCGCGTTCTCCGCGGAGTTCCGGGGGTTCGCTCCCACAAAAGTCACTTCAGCAACTTCTCCCTGGGGGGGAAATTGAGATTTGTGTTATTTGTGCCATCACACTGCACATTAAGAACATCCTTTGAAGATGCCATTTGAGGGGTTTAGGGGTTTGGGGGTTTTTTTGTGCTATTTTGGTGTGTTTGGTTTGTTGTTGCTTGAAATTATTTATAATTTCACTTGTTGAAACGGCAATGGACAATTTATGTTTTGAACTGGCATCCTGTGCCTTGCCATTCCACTTGTCCTGCTTGCTGGATAAACTCCACCATAAAACTGGATAAACTGCACACAAAAAAGGGAGGAAACAAGTGAGGTTTTTCAGAATGTCTCCCTGCCTTACTGCTGGAGAGAGCAGTGAGATGAAAGTCCTTGCTCTGAACATCTTATCTACATTTTGAGCACTGAAAACAGAACCATTTCCAACATTTTAATTTCATTTCATTTACATTCCACAGCAGAGGCATCAAAGGTGACCTGATTTCTGCTTGTAAAGGAATCACTGTGCAATATTTGCCTATTTAATCAACTGGTATTTTATTTTGAAGCAGAAGAGGAAATCTACTTCGTGGTGAATAAAGGGCTTTTGTTTTCCTCTTGATTCACCCCTTTGAGTCCCATTCAGCACGATGACATTGGTATGAAAACACTCTGTGCCTTCTCAGCCACGGTCACCAACAGAAACGTTTGGTCTGAGGGCACCACGATCCTTTAGGGAACACAGACCCTTTTGGGACAGGGGTAAGAGTTTAAAGGTGATTTCCTGAAGAGGTTTTAGTGAATCCCTGAGGCTCTCACCACTCGGTACTGCTGCCTCACTTCCTGCAGCACATCCCCAAATGTCTTGTTGGTCGGCGCGCGTTCGACACCGAGGGAGGGCAGCAAGGTCAGGTTGCCTATGTTGAAAAATGGGGGCTCTGGGCCACGGGGCAAGTCCTGGGTGGTGTTCTGGGAGAAGGAACACGTGCTTGTTAGACACACACAGACATAACCAGTGTCTCCCTGACGAGTCACATCCCTGGTGTGGCTCTATATCCCACACCACTGCTCGGGCAGATTTTAAGAATAATAAAGTGAGTGTAAAACCAAACTGGAGGATCTTGCTCTGCATGCAGGAGCAATCCCTGCAGGACACTCTGTTGCTGGCATCCCCTCAGACCCATCCACCAGAATATCCCAGGACTGCCCACCAGTCCTGCACATTCACATGATCACACTGATCAAGGACATCGCCAGCAGAAATGCAGCAGAGGGGTTTTTTTTCCCTTTAGGTAAAAAAGCAGCAACTTCAGGCCATGCTGAAAGGTTGGAGGTACTTATTTCCCAAACTTTGACCTGAAAATCCCCTCGAATTTCTCAAGTGGCATGAGACCCCCATTACAGGAATTATCTTCATACCACGAGTGTTTCTCAAGAGAAGAGAGGGCAGCAATCATTCGGCCTCACTGAGGAACAAATACAGGATTTAAATGTCTCCAGCAGCATGTGGCCTGTAGAAAAGGTTGATTACCGTGGCAATAGCCCTTGCAAGTCCTCTGTAGAGCTGGATGTAGGCAGAGAGGGTGTGTGGCCCATAAATAGTCGATGCAGCCTCATATCGTTGAACCTGGCGAAGGACAAATGGGGAAAAGGAGGCTTTGAGGGACTCTTGGGTGGTTTACACAGCCCATCCTACTGCACTAAGACAAGATCAGTGGTATATCAGGGTTTATTTACTGCCAGGGAGACAGTCCAACAACTGGCCAAAATATTTCTGCTGCAGTTCCAGGTGACTCTTCATTCTTTTACTCATGGTTTGCTCTCCCTGTTTGCTCTCCCAGTTATCACAGACTGTACTCTTTTTAAAGGCTTATGATGCTTCAAATTTTTGGGCTGCACAACCCCAGTTCTTCCAAACTCCCCTTCCAGTTCAGGCTTCCTAAACCCAAGGAGTCCAACCAATGGTCCACATCTTCCTCACAGCACAACATCTACTTTGCCTTGTGGAGACTCAGAACTGTGTCAGGCAACCAGCCTTTCCACAGCAACGGGGCACTGCAATCCATGGTTACCTCACAGCCCTCCTGCTCCAAATCTTTCAGCTTTTTGTGGCAAAGTGCTCTAAACACACATAGTTTCACACTAATTATCACCCCCATCCAGCCAAAAGCTGAGCTGGATTAAACACGTAAAATCCACAATTTTAACATTTACCTGGTATTCTTCATAGGTGGCAATGTAGTGGGTGTAGACATTGCACAGACCTGCAATTACCACATTCATCCCTGGTGTCCCATGGGAATCAAATTCCTAAGAAAGGAAAGAAAACACCTTGAAACAACTGCTTAATGCACAGATAAACTGCTGTTATTACTATTGTTGTTATTACTATTGAATCAATATTGTTATTATTGTTATGGTGGCTGGTATATTATTATCATCATCATCATCATTATCATTCTCATTATTCTGCTTTACCAGGATAGAATACAAAGTTACAGTGGGGAGAGGGCTGGATGCTCAGGACTGTAAACCTGCAAGTGCAATTTGCCTTTATTAACATCTCATATCCACTTCCCAAAGAAAAAGGGGGACACGTGACCTCCCATTCCAGTAAATTAAATGCATTTGAGGGTTTTCTGGCTGTATACCCCTAAAAAATCGTGACATAACTGTGAGAAAGGATCAGTGAGTTGCAGAGACAGCAGCTGAGACTATGATGGTGTTCAGGCTGCAGCTGAGGTGCACCAATCAAATGGGAAAAATACATTTGCCTTTTTTTTTCTTTTTTTGCAATTGTTCTCATGTTGCAAACTCCTGGTAGGGATTAAGGAGATAAAAATTCTCCATCCCACAGACAAAAATCCTGCTAGCATCCTGCCTGGATCCCAGTGGAATTAGCTTGTGTTGGCTTAATGGATTGAAACGCGATGGGTTTGCTTCTTTTGGGGAGGATATTCATTTCTGCTGCATGTCAGAAGGCACATGCAAAGTCTGTCTGAAGCAGCTGTGAGAAGGAAGCAGCTGTGAGACACGAGCTCCGTGGCCCCAGCTGGGAGGAGACAGGGGGAAAAGCAGAAGGCTCAGGAAATGGGAGGTTCCAGACACTCGGGAGAAACCTCTTCCTCAGCAGCTTACCCTTGTAACAGCTTCCCGCAGCCTGCGGCCAGACATGGTCCTAGGGCATGAAGGGGACAACATCAGGCTCCAGAAAGCATAAAATCCCAGAATCATTTTGGCTGGAAAAGCCCTCCAAGGTCACCGAGTCCACCCTGTGATCAACCCCCCCCTTGTCCCCCAGCCCAGAGCACTGAGTGCCACGGCCAGGCCTTCTTGGGACACCTCCAGGGATGGGCACTCCAAACCTCCCTGGGCAGCCCCTGCCAAGGCCTCACCACCCTTTCCAGCAACAAATTCCTCCTCCTGGCCAACCTGAGCCTCCCCTGGCACAGCTGGAGGCCGTTCCCTCTCCTCCTGTCCCTTGTTCCCTGGCAGCAGAGCCCGACCCCCCCCGGCTCCCCCCTCCTGTCAGGGGGTTGCAGAGAGCAGGGAGCTAAAGCAGGAACCACTGGCTGGACTTGCAGCACCCCACCAGAAACTCCCACAGCACCTCCAGCACTGCTCAGCATCCCTTAAGGCCCCTCTGAGATAAGCTCAACCAAAGCACCTCAAAAGATTTTTCCCTCATCACCACAGCCTGGGTGAGGCTGGAGACACCCCGAGATGGGGCAGGAATAAAGGTGCTGGAGACAAATCATTATCCTGTTCAAACTCTCACCATTGTACCACCAACAGTCAGTGCAGTTCATTATCAAAACTCAAATCAAAATTAACAAGTTCCTTTTGTTTCACTGAACCTGCATTTTGCCATGAACACTTAAAATTATTTAGGAATCCTGTTTCCATCTCATTCATTCCCACAGTGAGTTTATATATAACCTTGGGGACAATTTTTACCCTGCTCCCCCTTTCTACCTGCACACAGAACTACCACAGGGGGTTTAAATGAAACGCTGTCGGCTGCAATAAATTAATAAATGAACAAATTTCTCTCCTGAAGGAACACCCACGTGAGCTCTCCCGGGACAGCAACGATGGCCAGCGATCCGATGGCAGCGATCTGCACGTCCACCACGTCCGGGTGCCACGGGTGGGGCCAAGTCATCTGAGGGGGCACAAAAAGTGGGCACAACAACTTCAGGATGGTAAGGAAAAAAGAAAAAATAGCTGGAGTGTTTTCCTTCCTCCAGTCATAAACCGGTTGGTAAGTTTATTTGTAAATTCAATTTGTTTGTAAAACACGTGAGAGTGTGTTTTAGTTTCACTGGTAGGTCTGACCATTACAGTCACACAGGGCACGTGGAAATACTTTGTTTGGAAAAAAACAAACAAACAGGGTGTTGCCAGAGGGATAGCTTAAAGCAAAGTGGGTGAAATAAGGTCAGGGCAGCACCTATAAATCCCTCACCTGCGCGGAAAAAGGATGGAGCTGGGATTGATGAGGTCGAACATCTGATCAGGAGGGCAAAAGCGAACGAGTGAAGTCAGAGATCCTGATGGTGATGGGAAATGAGAGTTCCCTCTTCATCAGAATCATGGAATGGTTCAGGTTAGAAGGGACCTTAAAGCTCATCTCATCCCACCCCCTGCCATGGGCAGGGACACCTCCCACCAGCCCAGGTTGCTCCAGCCTGGCCTTGGACACTTCCAGGGATCCAGGGGCAGCCACAGCTTCTCTGGGCAACCTGTGCCAGGGCTCCCCACCCTCACAGGGAGGAATTTATTCCTAATTTCTAACCTAAACCTCCTCTCTATCAATCTGAAGCCACTCCCCCTCGTCCTGTCACTACATGGTCTCCCAGAGGGGGAGTTCCACCCCAAGGGGGAGTTTCTCCTAGAAAGTGATGATGCTCAGGGAACCCTCGACCTAACCCTGACTCCCAACTGCCCCTTAGCAGGGACCATGCCCAGACTCAGCACCATTGCAGCAGCCAAAACACACACACACAGCAGCATTTCATCTGAAAACAACGGCAAAAAAAAAAGTTAGATAGAAATGAAAAAGCCAGTTAAAAGGAAATCGGGAACAAGAGCTCGAGGCTGGCACAGCTCCAGCAAATGAAATGCAAAATCCCACTGCAGCCAGCCAAAAAGAGGGGGTTTTTTGGAGGAGCAATTTACTGGGGTCAAAGCATGAATGACAAAACCTCACATCAGAAGCAGGAGGTCTGCCAGAGCATCCATCAGATGTGATAAAGTTGTAAGAAAAAAAGTGTAATTTCCTCTCAGTGACACAGTTCTAGATGGAGGAGGCGGGTGGGAGGAGCTGGGACCTCTTTTTAGGGGAGATGAGGTGAGGAGCTGATTGAACACAAAGTGACAGAAGGAAAAGCTTTTAAGGAGACTGGTGAAAGGAATAACAATCATCCAGATGGCATCCTCTAAGTGCTCTAAAGGACCTTGGACATGATCCCGCTCCACTGCAGTGCATTTGTCTTAATGCCAAGGGAACATCAGGTGGGAAATGGGGCATCAATTTTCATTTAAAGCTGTAAGCAGGATTTTGGGAGGGCTCAGTAAGAACAAACACCAAGTCCTGCCCAGGATGGAGCAGCCCCGAGCATGGGGATGGGCTGGGACCAAGGGAGCAGTGGCTCTGCAGAGGCTGGGCCTGAGAAATAACCCTTCCCTGTGGATAGGGACCCATATGCTGAGGGCTCTCCATCCTTGCTGACTGTCCCAGCTCTTCTGGACATGGCCCTGAGCAACCTGCTGCAGCTGCAGTGCTGGTCCTGCTGGGAGTAGGATCATGCTGGGGAACCTCCCTCCAGGGTACTTCCAGCCTGAGCCTGCTGTGACTCTGCCCATGGATGAGCAAGGCTGGCATCAGTCCGTGCTGCAGCTCACAGAACTATCAGACAGTTGCACAAATGTGACAGAAAAGCAGAGAAGTCAACAGGACGTTTCCAGAGGAAGCCACGATCGGAAGAAACCTTGGAATGTAACAGTGAGGAAGGTGGGCAAGTTGGTTCAGTCCCCAGAGTTCCCAAAGGCCACCGTGATGAGTTGGTTCATTTTGCATGGATCAGTCTGTCCTATGACAAGAGGAAAGGTCCTCCCATGGATTAAGGCAGGAAACAAATGGCAGGACAGAAGAAAGAAACACCCAGAGCTATTAAGATCTGAGCAGCCACAGAGGATGGGTGTCCTGGAGCCAGAGGCTGCTGGGAGGCAACACTGAGCTCCACACACTGGTGGCTTTCCCTGACCTCATGCATTTTCCCTGTGCATCCAGCTCAGGGCTGTTTCACAGGCAGAGAATTAGGCCAGGGTAGATCTTCAGTTGGATTTTTTTGGCCCTAATGAGAGCAGGAAGTGTGGTCTCTCCTCCTGGGACACATGGAAAAGATGCTCTGAAAGAGGAAAACTTCCACCTCTCTCACTTTGATGCAAACCTCTGCACTTCCCAGGGCACACAGTGGTGTGTCCTTACCTCTCCCGTGCTGAAGAGGATTGGCTTGGGTTTGTGGCAGGCTTTTGTCTCATTTGATGGCTCTCCCAGCAGCTGGTCCCGGATCTGATCCCAGAACGGGTCACCTTCTACTGCACCTTGAGGGGGAAACACCTTTCAAACACTGTTCATCAGCTGCCCCAGCAGCTCTCAGACAGACACGACTCCCTCCCTGCTCAGGTGGGGTGGGATATTCCTCAGTGGATTCTGACCATCGCCCTTTCCTGGGGTGGTTTGAAAAGTTGAGCTTTAGCCCAGCTGAGCTCCATCTTGGCAGGCTTCAGGTAATGAGAACAAATGAGAAAGAGTGTCCCAAATCCAGGTCTTTCTTCTCCCCACTCCCCATCCAGTGCTCTCCCTCCTTCAGGGCATGGCCATACCCTCCTTCTCCAGGAGCTTTCTGACGCACACAGACAAACCTGCAAGGGGGCTGTAAGGTCACACCTTCCCAAAAACATCCCTTTGGAGGCTGTGGTTCAACCAGCAGCTGATGCTGCCAAGTGCCTCCAGGGAGTTCAGTCTGTGTGGGGGATGCCCCGTGCCCTCCCCATTTGTCCAAAGCCACAGTGACTCCTGCCCCCCAGGCTACCTTGGGTGAAGTTGAAAGCGCCCACGCCGTCGATGGTCCCCGCGGCAAAGCTGTGTCCCAGGGCTGGCTTACACGTTTTAACCTGGATCAGGCAGGGAGAAAAACAAGGAAAAAGGGATAAAACCCAGCTCCCCTCAGTGTGCCAGGTCCTGCTGTGGGACTCTGACCTTTCTTGCTGCCTGGCCCCCCTGTCCCAGCAGCCGCCGCTCTCACCGTGTGCGTGGCATTGAGCTCCACCGACACGTCACTCATGTTCACCCACTGGTGGGCCGAGCTCAGGGGCCCCCTGACCTCCTGGGAAGCCTTTTCATACAGCTCCTAAGGGACACACAAGGTGGAGATCCTTGAGGAAGAAGCAGTCAGGAAGCCAGCCCTGCTGAGATACAGCCACCTGGATTATGTCTTCGTTCTGTTGACGCCTTCCCACGGCCTCTTCCAGGTGTAAAAGCAAGAGTGTATTTCCCAAGCTCACAAGGTGTTTCTATCACCCCGTCTCTACATCCTGCTCGCCCTGAGCCCTGCAAGCTCCCCCTGTCTCAGGGAGGGAGGACACCCTGTGGTCAGCAGTTTTCCACATGCCTTTCTTTTACAGCTGAAACAGGCACCTATTTCTCAAGGGTGGCAAATTCTTGTTCCTGGTGCCGCCTTTTGGCATTTCTCACAGCTCAGACCAACCAGAAGGAGTGTTTCCTATGAGAAAGAAGCTGTATTCATTGCTCAGAAGTGCCTGGACTTTACCATGTATTTAGCACAGAGTTGACAGCTAAGCCAGTCAGCTCTTCAGGGAGCAGTTTGCCAGCCCACGTGCCTCGGGTTGGGACACAGAAAGTGCTGCCAGAAGTTGTACAGCTTAATGATGTTCCTGGAAGGAGTTGAGGGCGCAGCATTCGAAGGTCAGGAGTCCGAGGTGTTGAAAACAACTGCAGTGTTTCCCCTCTCTGTTTTACACACACCAGGACGCTCTGACTGGGACAATCTTGCGAGTCACGATCAGCCTGGAGTGACTTCAGGGCAAGGATCTGAAATGGTGATTAAAGGAAACCACCAAGCCTCCTGCTGGACACGTTCCAGTTCCTACCAGCTGCTGTCCCTGAAACACTGCCAAAAACTCTCCTTGCACTGACTACCCTCACATTACACGAAGCCACGGGAGGGGAACCAGTAAAGTCAGGTGGCTTTTGAGCCCTCAGGTGACACAAGGGAGCCCATAGGATGGAGGACACCGGCTGAGTAAATGCAAAGCCAAGCAGGGCAAGTGAGTATCTTCCATGGGTGTTTAATCTGGCACATTTTAACTCACATTAGTGTTAGTTTAGGAGTGTGATGCCGACAAGTGGTGTGTGGTGGTGTCTCTGAGCTCTTCCACCTCTGAGATGTGTGCGTGGGAGGGAGGGGGAGATGGGAAGGGGCAAGATCTACATTATATCCCTATAAGGGATACTGAGATTAAAACCCAAACTGATATTTTGAAATCACAACACCTACAACGATGTATCTAAATATGTGCCAATGTATCTAAGTGTGTGCTTTCTGTTCTAAATTTAGGTGTCTAGTCAGATATGTTATACCAGAAGGAGTTTTTCACTACCATTATGATTTCATACACTGCCCTAAGTTTAACAAATTCCAGGCTCTGAGGTCCTCTGATGGCAATAGAAGACCAATAAAATAAGATCAATAAAGAAGACCAATAGAAGATCAATAAAACCTCATTTACCCATTAAAAAAATAATCAAGAAACTTTTCCTTAAGCATATAAATGTAGACTTTGGAGTAATTTACATCTACAAACATTCACAGAGGACAGATAGAATGTTGAATATAGAACACCCTGAGCTGGAAGGGATCACTGAGTTGTTTAAATGAACGTGCATTCCTGTCATAACAAGCTCTCACACACACTCGCAAAGCGAAATATCACTTACCCTTGCTTTTGAGTAGATATTTTGCCCTATAATCCTTGTACTCTCAAACATGTCATTCCCGGGCCCCTGGGCCATGCACATGGCTGCCTGTGGAGAAATTGGTTGGAATGGTAGCCATCAGTTCCCACGGAGAACACGGGGCACTGCCGAGCGGGAGAGCTCACGGGGGCTCGTCCTGCCGCGGGAACTGATGGCCTCCTGCCAGAATCAGGCACTGGGCTGCTGCACTGACCCGGGCAGCAAGGCAAACTGCAGGAAACGGGGTGTGTGAGGCACAACAGGTAGGACACACTCACCCCTCCGACGGGGCAGGAGCTCTGGGGGTTGTCGCACGACTCGCCCGTGTTGGCGCAGGTCGGGCCGCGCGTGTTGGGCGACACGTCTCCCAGGTTGGAGGAGGCGAAGGCGGCAACGAAGGAGCCCTGCCAAACCCAGAGGTGCTCAGAGGGGCTTTGGAGCCTCTCAGGGAGTGCAAACACCCCCTGCAGCTTTCCCTGGAGCCGGTTACCACCAGCTGGCGAGCCCGTGATGCTGCTGAGCATTTCCGAAGCAATGCTGAACATTTCTGGGAGGACTGGAGTGGGGATTTATGGATATCAAAGGGGTTGGGGGCAGGAAGAGCAAGGTAGAACCGGACACCCAGAAAGCAATTGCCATTTCAGGGTGGCCTTCAGTCTGCTTTGGTATCCAGCCAGTGTTTCTCCATGTCCCTCCTGTGTCTCAGTGGCAGCTCTTCCCTCCACGTCCCCAGTTTCTCGTGTTACTGATCAGATGCCAAGTGATCATTGTAGCACCTTGCACAGAATTATTTTTTCCCTGCCAGGCTTTCACCATGACTGATTTACAGGGTGACAGCTACTGGATCTGCAGGAGTTAACATCAAGCAGTACCTGTCAGAAGCAAAGCTGGTTGCACACTGAGCACTGGCTGAATTCAGCTCTTGCAGATATTTCATTTCCCACCCACTCTTTCAGAGCTGGGACATGTCAACACCAACTATTCTGATATATTATCATCTCTTAATTCATTTTCTTGTAAGGCTCCTAGACACAATGTGCCAAATATTGAATCCTGCAAACACTTCTTAGCGTGTCAACTTCCACTGACTCGCACCTGTAATGATGCACTAAAGCTGAGTCTTGTTAAAAGCTTTTGGATAATCCACCACAAAAAGAAATACTTGCAAGCAGGAATTAGGAAGACTTCCTCTAGTTTCCATTTTTTGCTGTGAACCACACGTGTTCCCAGAGTATTAAAAGAGAAATTGGGCAAGAGTTTCTAGGCACCTGCTGGAGATACACCCAGGACAGCCTCTTGATCAATTCGTGACACAAAGTACCTGTGAGATGGGTTCGTGTCCACAGTAACATCTCAGAGGAAATAATGTTTTTTAAAGGAGCTGTGTTTGCAGTCTGAGGATGGCAAATCTTCTGGGTAAATGCAAATCACAAGGCAGAACTGGCTGGAAGCCAGGAGAAAAAAGTGGGGCTGAGCACAGGTTTGATGCCCCCCCCAGATGCAATGAATGTATCCCTCTGGATCAAGTATCCTGCACATATCTTGCTAGTATAGAATCCTGGAATGGTTTGGGTTGGAAGGGAACCTAAAGCTCATCCAGTTCCAACCCCCTGCCATGGGCAGGGACACCTTCCACTAGACCAGGTTTTTCAGTGCCCCATCCAACCCGGCTCTGAACAGTGGCAGGGATGAGACAGCCACCACCTCTCCAATTTCCAATAGTCTAATCAAAACAAACGTGGTTTATCATTTAAGTCTAAATAAATGCCACTGATTGCTAGTTTGGAAAGTCAAGAAAACACCTTCCAATTTCTCCCCTCTAGAGGAAGAAAGTAATTAAATCACAAGCGTTCAGTTTTGTCCTTGTTCTGTGTTTATCCTGCTGTCCCACTTCTCTGTTCGAAAGAACCCGCTTTGGCCCTTGCAAAGCACCAGCCACCCCCTCCGTGCTGCAGCCCTTTTCCACCCATTATTTCCAGCAGCCTGAAGGCACTCCCACCTCTCCAGGGAGCATTCCCTTGTTCTGGTCCTGCTCGAACAGGTAGGACGCGTAGCCCACGTTGTCGCTGTTCACCAGGTGGTTCGTGTTGTTCATGCTGACGGGGTGCACAGCAAACCAGCTGGGGGGGAGGCACAGGACACTCATTGTTCAGGCTCTGTGTTGGCAGCTGGCCTGTTCAATCTACATATTTGCAGTCAACCTATGGAATTTTCTTTGGGAGAACACAAACACAGACTCCAGGTACTTGGGGATGGATTAACAAGGGCAGAGTACTCCCATCCTCTCCCAGCCAGGAGGGTGCATGGCTATGATGGTCCAGGTCTTGAGGCCACAAGAATTTGGCAGTTCAGACCCGGACTGACTCTTTTACTAATCCAGAGGATTGTGTTCTGCAGGGTTTTTTTTATTTTCTTACTTCAAAGAAACAAGGAGGAGTCAACGATGTAAAAAAGGGGGGAAAAAAGGAACACCTTCATTCTTACAAAAAAGAATGAGGATATGAAGGAAAACGTGCTGCTTTGGTGGTCAGTACCTGATAAGGCCTAGCTCTTGTCCATCCTCACCTACCATCTTCAGAATCACCATTTCTTTATCTGTGTTGGATGAATACCTGGATGAAAACAAAGCAGGGAAATCTCATTAGCACCAGAGCTGTAGTCACACTCTGCAGTGCTCTGACGTGTTAAATCTCCACTAGGCTGAACAAGGAAATAAAAAGGTTATGCCAGGTATTACCAGAGCACAGTGAGACCTTAGAGAGGCATCTGAAAACAGCTGTGAAGGGAAGGGAAGAGTTATGGTTGTCCTCAGGCGCTGCTTCTCCAGAGAATGGAGAGAGCAGCTCTCTCCAAATACAAATTCATGCACCAAGGATAGCACTTCAGTGCCATCTGAATATTTTTTTTAATAAATAAAGCAAAAGTTCATATCCTTAACCAATGTCTCACATGTTTGGAGAGCACAACTTTGAAGCCCATTCTTGAAACTGATTTTGGGGGACACACCCAGGAGCCCAGGATGGCAACAGCGTCATTCTGCCACATCTTGACTCCACATTTCCAACCCTCCCGTGAATGACCAGAAACACCAACTGCCAGATGGCTGCTCATGGTCCCAGCTGGAGGATTCTCTTGGGGGCTCTGTTTCCCTCCTGCCTGGGGAGCTTTTACCTGCTTCGCTCGGATGCTGGATTGGCGAGATAGGAGAAAGGGCTTCGGTTGATCTGGCTGTTTTCTACAGTGCCTCTGTTTATAAAAAGCCTTCCTCTCTTCATGCTCTCATGTGCTATGTCTATGCTCTGGAAAGCAGGAAGACAGGGAATATTAGTCTGTAAGACATGCATGAGATTATCTAGAAAAACCTCTCTCTTTCCCTTCCTAGCTGCCCCCAACCCTTTCTTGGGAGTTTGGGGGTGCTTATTTAATTATTTTTTTTCCTTAAGCAGCCTAAAATTCTAGAAAACCATATTTTGAAGCTACTCACAATTGTCTCTAAAGAAAGAATTTAAGGCTTTTTGATCTGGTTTCTCTGGTAGACACAACCCCCCCTCCAAGTGTGTTTAAGACTGTAGCATTCAGAGGTGCTGCCACAACCATCACAGCCAGAGCTCTGTCAGTCACCAGCAGGTCAGAGGGGGTGACACCCACCTTCACGATGCCGTTCACGATCGAGTTGAGGGTTGGTCTGATGAGCCCTTTGCTCGTGATCCAGAAGAGGGTGTACTGGAAGTACCCCGCCGGCCCCGAGTGCGTGTGGGTGCCGCTGAGGATGACGTTGTCCTGCCGGTACAGGTCACCGTACTTGCTCTTCAGACTCTCGAGCACCTAAGAGGAAGGATGTGGTCTCAAAAAGCCCTTTTTCGTGCCTAAAATCTATAGAGATTTGTGCCAGCCCTTGCAAAAAACCCCAGCCACTCATCCTCCTCCTCCTCACTCCTCCCTTTCTGCCTGATACTCCCATGTTGGTGGCACAAGTAGGTTACAGTTGTTGACCCGGCAAGAGCCTCAAAATAATAAAATCTGGTAAGTGAAGACCTCTGTGGCCAACCTGAAGTGAATCCCAGGTCATCCAAGGAGTCCACAGTTCTCCAGCATCTCCCTCTCTCCTCTGTGCTGCTGGAGACCCAACATTACACAGTCACCATGATCATGTATTCCTGATTGCAATGGACTCCTGATAATTTTTCTGCTAAGAGAAGCATGGGTAAAGTGCAGTCTCATGGCGAGGAATCAACAGCTCCTCTGCCTCAGAGACACAGGATCTCTGCAAGAAGGTGCTGCAGGGAAATCCCAAAGCAAAGGGCCAACGTGCTGCCGAGCTGGACGTTATTTAGTGATGACTATGAATGCACAACCCTACATAAACTATAACCCTCGTGCAAACACCAGCAAGAGCCCACCCTGTGGCAGCCCCTCACCTGCAGCCACGTACCTGCAGCCTCACCCTCTGGGACACCATCCCTATGTCAGCGCTGACGAACACCACGCGCCGGGAGCCGTCGGGGTCTGCCACGATGAAGGCTCGGCTGTAGAGGCGTGTGAGGAGCCCACCAGCCGCCTGCTCCGGGTTGGCATAGCCCATCTGCAAAGGGGAGAGCTCCCTCAGGTCCACCCAGCCAAAATAACGAGGGATACGTTCACCTGCATGGACTCCTCCGAGCGTCAGAGGACTCATTCAGCACATAAACACTCTGAGCTGCAACTCTGCCCTGCCCCGGGAGTGCAAGGATCATGGAGTGGTTTGGGTTGGAGGGGACCTTAAAGCTCATCTCATCCCAACCCCTGTGCCACAGGGACACCTTGCACTGGACCAGGTTGCTCCAAGCCTCAAAGAAACTTCACCGAATGTTTGCAGAGGGCACACTTTGTCGAGGCAAAGGCTCTGAACTGGAAACCCTGCAAAAAGTGCTGTTGGGTGATGAACAATCAGTATTTTGCCAACCCCACGTTCGATTCCCCCAACTTACCAGGGGAACCTGTGCCACTGGTCCTGTGCAGTCAGCTCGACCCACGCCCAGCAAGTAGTTTGCTGTTTCTGATATGTCGATGGAATCTGTAAGAACAATAACCAGTAGATCAGTGGACACACGAGGGAGCAGAACTGGAGATAAAAGAGGCAACCCAGCTTTGTTCAAGAGAATCCACACCTGAAACCTGCTGGACATCCCCAGAGGACCCAGCAGACCCTGGGCAAGGGGGTCTAGCTGAGTCCTCTGCTGGGGTTTCCAGTGGGCTGTCGATGTGGTCCAAGGGTGCTGAGGCTGTGAAGGTATTTGGGGTGGTAAAGGGTGGAGCAGGCATGAGGAACTACAGAGGGAGGTCACAAGATGGTGTCACTGGACCATGGAAAATGTGTGGGGACACACAGGGAGGGGGAAACAAGCCCAGGGTTGCCAATTAAACTCTCCAAGCCCATCACCACCACGCAGGAAACGGATCCAAGGGTGCAAGTGCTGCTTCACACAAAAAAATCAGCTCAGCAGTGGCAAGAAAAAGGGGATGGCATGTCAGGAGCTGCTGGGAAGGACCAGGGAAGAAAAAACACCCACATGTTTCCCTGGTGCCTCCAACACACCCTGCGTCCAGTGCTGGCACCCTGGTCCTCCTCAAAAAAACTGAAGCAGAGCCACTTGAAGCTCAAAGAAGGGAAAAGCAGCTCTGGGCAATGACCTCCAGGCAAATGGTGAGGAAAAGTAATGCCAAAGGAGGTCATGTCTTGCCCCAGCCATCGTGAAGGTGCAGAAATCCTTATAGGATGGATAAACTCAGGGAAGAAAAGCCATAGAGGGCTCTAAAATAATAATAATAATAATAAATAAATAAGGTTATCTGCATCTCAGGAAATCCCAGAGCCACAGATCACTGGAGGCTGAGATAATCCTGTGGGAAAATATTGAATATTTCTGTTCTCACAGCCTTTCCCAGGCAGCTGCTGCCTCTCAAGGCAGGACACTGGGATTAGGGGATGCTCGGTCTTCCCAGTCCGGCCTTTCCTAGGCTGTCACTGAAACCAGAGAAGTGAAACACTCACACTGGCCACAGACTGGCCATTTCTGTGATTTAAATTGTCATCAGTGAAACGGGTCACCCATTAAAACTACCCTTCCTCCACCTCCTCCCCTTCTCCCTCCTCCTACAACACGGAGGAGAATCACTTGCCCAAAACTCTCACGTGTTCCAACCCAAACCCCCGAAGGAAGAGTGAACTGCAGCCAGCCTGAGATCAAACTCTAGGAGCTGGAAGGTCCCCCTGATGACGTGTGGGGCGATGCCCTGTCCAGGGGCAGAGTGAACTTGGGGCAGCCCCCAGCACCTGCCCTGTGCCCGGGGATGGGGTTGGAAATGTGAAGGGGCTGTGATGGGATGGCAGCAGCTGTGAGGCCCCTCGGTGCAGTGCCAGGAGGGAGGGAAGGGAGGATGTGTGGGTCCCTGCAGCCCCACCACGCCCAGGGCTGTGCATCCATGCAGGTGCTCCTGCCAGGTCTGCCCACCCTGCTGAGGCTGGGCCCAAGGGCCGTGCACAGGGGTGGTGATGAAGGCTCAGCAGTGCCCCTCTGTCTGTGTCTCTTTAAAAGGCTGCACTGGGCACACACCGGAGCAGCGTGGGAGGGTGGGACTGAAGAAGCTCAACTTGCCATTGCTGGGTCTGTTGAGGAAGTGGAGGACGAGGAGCACCACGGTCAGCGTGATCACCAGCGCCAGGCACACGATGAGGATCACCCCCAGGCGTGAGGAGCAGCACTTGGACCTCTGCCCAGACATGGTGGGGGCACTGTGAAGGCACAAAGGGACAGATGGGACAGCCCCAGCCTCGGGCACAGCACACCCAGAGCACACATCACACCCTCCAAGAGCTGCTGAGGGTTTGTGTCCCCCATCCCAGTGCCAGAGCAGCAGAGATAAGGATGGGAAGTGCAGGTTGGCTTTTCAACCTGCTTAAGGCAGCAGAAATATATCTCCTGGGAGCAGCAAGCACTCCCTGTCACGAGGGCTGATAGGACAGGGCGAGCACCCAAATTACTGACCCCACATTTCCCAGAACACTTGGTTCACCCTCCCCAAAGAATCTTTGAAATAAGCTCCACAATATTCCACCAGACTCCACGTTCACTGAGTGCCTGGAGGAGATGCTGCAGCCTGAAGCCTCACAGCTTTGCAGTTGCTCACATGCTCAGAGCACATCAATACTGTCACCATAATAAAGGTCAGTTTAACAACCTCAGCATGAGAAGAGCACAGCCCATTGCAGGTCCAAGTGCAAATCTCTCCTGGCTGGAAAAAGTGCTGGCTGTGACAGCTTTCCCAGATAAGAGCCTACATATAGATACTGGATTTCTTCAGCATATAAAAAAGTTTGCTTTTGGATATTATCCTTCCTTCTTCTATAAAGAAGAAAGGTTTATTTTGGGTTAAAAACAGAGGCTTGGTTTGGGTTAAAGATTAACAAGAAAAATCATGTAAAATACAGCTATGGGAAAATATGCTGTTGCCCTCTCTGATTTGTCCTGCTCTGGCAGCCCAAAATTGCACCCAAAAATTCAGGCTTGCCCAGTGGGAAGTGACACTTGGAGCTAAGATGTGCCTTTTGCCCTTCCTGTGAACACCTGCACGAGTTAGGAATTAACCTTTAAAACAGCTTTGGATGTTTCTGTGTGTCCATAGATGTCTTAGCAGATCAAACTTACTGCTGATCCCATCACTCTGCCTGTGACCCAACCACGAATCTGCTCCAAAGGGTTCCTTGTTCAGAGCAGGGAGGGGGATCTCTGTCCTTGGGGATGCCCCCAGCTCACCCAGACACAGCTCCAAGCAGCCTTGGCACTGGCACTGCAGTGAGGGAGATGGGGAAAATGGACACCCAGGAGAGGGGAAGGCTCCAGGGAGACCCGAGAGCCCCTTCCAGGGCCTAAAGGGGCTCCAAGAGAGCTGGAGAGAGACCTGGGACAAGGGATGGAGGGACAGGAAAAGGGGGAACAGCTTCCAACTGCCAGAAGATGGGATACTGGGAAGGAATTGTTCCCTGGGAGGGTGGGGAGGCCCTGGCACAGGTTGCCCAGAGAAGCTGTGGCTGCCCCTGGATCCCTGGAAGTGTCCAAGGCCAGGTTGGAGCAACCTGGGCTAGTGGGAGGTGTCCCTGCCCACAGCAGGGGGTGGAAGGAGGTGATCTTTAAGGTCCTTTCCAACCCAAACCAGCCTGTGAGTCTGTGATGATCCTGTGATTAGAAAGGGAAGAGTGAGGCAGAGCCTCTGATTCTCCTGGAGGCAACATTTGCCTTAGGGTGAGTCTGTCAGGGGGCTTGGGAAAGCTCCTGCCTTCAGGTTATTCCCCATAGGAATGTGCCCTGGAAACAAGGGACCTGCAGAAAACAACTGCTGAAATGAGCATTTATGGGCTTGGGAAGGTTGCAGTGAGAAACAACAGCACCAGAGAGCCAAGTGGTCACCTAGACCTGCTCTAGGTGACCTTTCTCATCAGCTTCTTTTGCCCTGGTGAGCTACAGCAGTTGTCATCAGGGTTGGATTTCACACAGGAAACATTCTAGTGGCAACAAAGCTAATATTACAGGTTTCCTTCCTCCTGCTTTAACTCTCCAAGCGTGGCACTGGCAGCCAGGCTTGGACACGCACAGCCCCAGCCTCAAACTCATCAGCACCACACACAGAGACAGTGCTCATTATCCCCCTGATCCAACCCAAACAACACCACAAGAAACAAACATTCATCCCGTGGAACCCCGGTGGAATCTCCTGCAAACCTCCCCGAGTTCCCTCACCTGCTCCAGTGGCCAGAGGAATGTCTCCCAGCTCCAGACCTGCTCCAAGCTGAAAAGTTGAGCTTGGAAATCGTTGCTGTATAACCCCGTGAGTCAAGCACTGCACAAGATAAGAAGAAACCAATCAATAATTTCTAGTCCACAGGGAGGTGAGAGGATTTTTTTCCCCCTAGTGTGTTTATGTTGAGTTAGGGACAGCACCTGCCTCTCTAAAATAACCTTCCTGGGGTTGCACTGATCAGCTCTGGTGCACGAGGAATTCGGGAACAGGACTCTTTTCCTCCTCTTTGCTTCATCACTGATGGAATTCCACAGCCTGTGGAATGAGGGCTGCTTCCCAGTCTGGCCATGACTCCTAATCCTCACAGAAGATTGCTCCTCAGGGTTTCCAAACTCTACCAGAAGAAGAACTTGAGAGCAGGATTGTATTTTAAGTGTAAAATAATATATTTTTATTTATTAAATTTGTTAAACCCAAGCTTTTTCCATCTATTTTCCCCTCAGGTCCCAGACAGGTCCGGATAAATTCACCAGCTGCTAAAGCATGCCTTATCCAAAGGGCTTTGACAGCTTGCTCCTCCCAAATATTACAGGACCCAGCCCACCCCTCAGATGTGGTGGTAAAGGAGAGGAAAGCTCCAACTAGCCATTCCCCTTTCTCCCTCCAGCATCCATGCACTTTGCTTGGGAATTCAAGGCTGGGATCACCTCTGACGTTTTCCATCCCAGCTGGGGAGTTTCAGTTTTCCTCTTTCATCCCCTTTTCTCCCGTACACCCCCAGTCCAAGGGTTAACCTTCCAGCTGGAGCTGAGCAGGGTCTGCGTCACCACTCCGGGGTCATGTTCAGTATTGCCCTTTGACTCGCTGATTTTTGGACTGGCTGCTTGGGAGACACGGGATTTACTGATACCTTATCTCCTCCCTGCAGTTCCCAGGGAACCTGCTTTGCCCCTGACACCGGTGGAGAAGCCACCTGCTTTGCCATGTGGGGTGCCAGATATCCCTGGGCACTACTGTGCTGCTGGGAACGTCTGAGCCACGAGGGCATCCCAAATCCTGCGCTGGCCCTGGAGGTAAGTGAAGAGCCTTGTTTGACAAAACCATGGAGCAGCTGCTCTGCTGTCACAGGAAAGGTCCTGGCACAGGGATGAGCCAGGAATAGGCTGTGCATTGGCTCGTTGGTGATACATTTGCTAGATCCTCGTGAAAAGCCAGGAAATTGAGTTTTAATGAACTGCCACAGTGATGGTGTGCCCTGCCCTGCCAGCCTCACCCCAGGGACTGCAGGGAGCTGAGGAAAAGGCCTCACCGTGGCTCTGTAACTCCAGAGAGAACAAACCACCTGTTGGTGGGGGTAGAGGAGGAAAAGGAAGTTTGGTGACAGCTCAAAACATGTTTGAGGGGAATGTTTTCAATTGCTTTCCTTTTCAGAAGACTGCTACGTGAGGGTATGGGGACCCACAGCTCCCCATCTCCCCCGGCTGATGTGCCCATGTCCACACGCCCTGGCTCAGGACTGCAGGAACCAACAAGCCTTCGGGTGCAGAAAAGGGACTTTCAGCACTGCAAAGACCTCAGGTGAAGTGCTGAGGGCTTGGGAAATCCCTCTGCCTGTGGGAAATGTGAACTGTTCCCCCCAGAGATGTTGGATTACCGAGATGGTGCCGGGTGGAGCACACAGAGATCATCACACAGTAGCACAACAGGTTCCTCAGAGCCACTGTCAACCCAGTGAGGAACAACAAACTGCCCCAAAGAAGTCCTGGAAATGCACCTGGCTTCTGCAACCTCATGTCTTCCCCCTGGGACAGGTCACCAGCTTGGCCACCACGAGGAAGGACAGGGGTCCCACCAGAGGCACGATGCTCACCCCAAAGCAGCCACACCGGAGCACCTAGCCTGGAAAATAAAACTTCCAAGGAAAAGCTGTCCTGTCGGGGGCAGGATGCTCAGGGATCTGCTCATTAACCTCTGATGGTTGAGATCAGAACTCTACAGATCCAGGCTGGAAGGAAACTGGAGCTTGGGAAGAAACAGCAACCATGGTTGGAGGGCTCAGGGCATCCCTGAAATTATACTCCATCCTGGGGTGGGAGGAAATGTGGGATTTGAAAGCAGGCACAGTTGTTAAATGCATGCAGACCCCCAGAAAATTCTTCCTTTGAGGTCCTTGTCCTGCCATGCCTGGACAGCCTGGCCCTGGACATCAGTCTGGGCTCATGTGACATCATAACATGCCAAGTTCCCTTCTCATAAGATTAAAGGTTCCCACAGATCATCCTCTTTCCCAAGACCAAGAGTCCTCCAACTTCTTCCCCTTGCCATTTTGTGCTAAAAGACACTAAAGAAAGTTATGTTTTCTTTAAAATATTTATCCTTCTGAAAAATGGCTTCTACCCATCACTGCTTACACACGACACCAATCTGTGACCTCCCCAGGCACAACCAGGGACTGCAAACAGCACAGGATTTTCATTTTCAACAAGAAAAACGTCTAAAGCCACTCAGGATCAATGGATCCACTGAAGGAACAAGGCAAAGCTGAGAGAAGGAAAACCAGTAAACACAGACTGCCAAATGTGCATTTCCTCATACAGCAAACATGGTGCTTCCAAATGGTTAAGAAAGAGGATTCAAACTCCCTCTAAGATCCCCTAGGAAAAAAAATAAATTCAGGGAACTGGCTCTGATATGTAAATCCATGAAGCATTTGCTTCCCTTTCTGCTCCTTACTTTTCAGTTTCTCATCCCTCCACAGCAAGACCAGATCATTTCAGGAAAGTGACCCTTTCTTCCAGCATCCTCATTTCACTTTAAAACCAGCATTTCCTGGTCTCTTGGAGAGCTCATTTTGTGCAAGCCATGGAAATTGGGATCAGGTAAAATGAAACTCTTCCCTTATAAATGCACAGGAGACCACGACCTTCTCTGTAAATTTCTGAAACAAAAACACCCTTCTGATGGGTAACAAAGGGACTGAAATTTCCTTTTTTAAAGAAACCCAGAAGACCCGGGAGGATCACATAATCCTGACAGCCCCCACAGCCCTCACAGCAATTAAAAGGCCTGCTATACAATGCTGTTTATTAAATGAAGGCCAAAGTCCTTTTTTACCAGCACACAGGATCCCGATGGCAGGAGATAACATTTTTGAGCAGAGTTGTCAGCAAAAAACCTCCCATGCTTTGGGGCAAGGACACACCAGGCATGAATCACTGCAGATGGACCATACCTGTGAGGTTTGGGGGGGGAAAAAAATACAGCTGAAGTGGGAAATTTGGGTTCCCAGGTCATTACTGCAACGCTTAACAAGGAGCACCATCACAAGCCATCGCCCATCTGAGGAAAAACGGTGCTGCCGAGCAGATCCGCCCTGGGAAGGAGAAGGACAAGGCAGCACAGCTCTGGATCAGCCCCCAAGGCACAGCATTCCCTGGGTCCCCTCCTCCAGCACAAGGCCATGGCACTGAGCTCCCTGTCCTGGCTCACCCAGACTCCTCTCCCAAGGCAGCACCAAAGCAGGGCGGGTGGGACAGCTGGGACCACGGGGAGCAGCATCCATGCAGTAAGTCAGACACTACAATGCAGGGATTCAGCAGATTCCATTTAATGTCATGTGCATATATATATCCATACATTTACTTATGTCAATGGTTTGGATGTGCGTGATGCCAGGCCTTGAAAAACCTACTCCTCAAAAGCGGGAATTCCCTCAAAAAATCACCCTGGGTGCTTTGAAAAGTGACTTTTAACCCCAGAGTTGCCAAGATAAAGCTGTGAATTGAAGGCAAAGCATGCAGAGCTGAGCCCTAAATTCTCAGGCAGCTCTGCAAATGCTGTTGCAAAGGGTTTGGCCAAGAAACCCCCTCCCTCCCTCCCACCCAGGCAGACAGAGAACTGATAAGGAACGGGTTGGTCTTGTTCAGCATCCCAAGCCACAACCAGCAGAAGCAACACCCCATCAGCTCCTCAAGGAAGTTTTTGGCCAAGGTTGAGGAACAGGGTAGAGAAGTCGAGATAAACCATCCCCAAAAAAGAAAGAAAAGAAGAAATGACACTTTCACCACCGCGGACTCACAGAAATTTGCTTTTCTTTCCTTTTTTTTTTTGTTTTTTTTTGGCGTCCAAGCGCCAGGACTGACAGACCCTGGGGCAGTGGGGGATGCTCCCCCTGCCCTGTGCTCCATCCCAGCAGTTCTGGGGTAGGTTTTTCAAGGCCTGGTGATGGCTCCCAGGAAGGCTCCTCCCAACCCGCCCCCGGCTCCCGCACTCGATTGCATAGCATTTATTTCAGATAAGGCACTGTTTTGCCCAACAGCAATTCGAAATCAATGCAGTTTCCATACAGTCCAAATCGGATGGCCTACAGTGCAATAACATCAACTTAAAGGCAAGGTTTGGAAGAATAAACCCAGCTTTAAATTTTCAACTTAACATTAAAAAGATAAAGGAAACTACACGTTTCAAAAGCCTTTTTATTTTCCTTCACCATTGTTGTTTTACAATACAAATATCACCTTGTGAATACACAAAAAACCTACAGAAGATAACTCTGCTTCACGTAAAATACAGAATGGATATATATATATTTATATATATATTTTTCTCTTCTTCATTCTTTTTTAAAAAAAACTATTTTTGTTCTGCACATTGGCAAGTTTAGGATAGGATACTTCCCCAGACATACAGTATGTATGGTAGGAGTGAAACTCAGAATTACATGCAGTTTCTGCACAAATATTTTAAAGAAATAGATTATCTTTGTTGTTTTTCAACAACACTGCAAAAGGGGATGGAGAAACTATACGTAGTTCACTCAGTGATCATTTGTAAAATTCTTAAAAAACAGGAATTCATGGCTGTTTTACTTGTTAAAATCCAGCTACCAAGAATAAAGTGATACTTTTTAGCTTGACCTGCCCACAATGTGTGAACAAGATCGGACCCTTTTTATTTGGTGGGGTGGTTTTTTCCCTAACACATGGCAATTTCAACATTATAAGCAAATTTCCAGTTTAATTTAGCTATAAATGCAAAAATTAGTAATTATATAGTATATATAATTCTGCTTTCATGGAATACTTTATTTTAAATAAAAACATTTAAGACTGCCTACTGACCATACAATCAAGACAAGAAAGGCACTAGAAACATAGACAAATCTCTCTCTCTCCCAAGAAGCATTTTCTTTAAATTTTAACTCTCTATTCTCTGACATGTAAAAATCTTTTTAAATTTAATTTTTTTTTTTTCATACACGTTTTGAAAAATAAAGTTAGGAAATACTTAGAAAATCACTTTACATTTTTTCTTTTTTTTTTTTTTCCTTTTTTTTTATTTTTTTTTTTTTGCACTTTTTGACACAGTCAGTCACTGCAGATTCTACAAAATCAGGATTACCAAACCTTTCTGTGTCTATCATCTTATTCGTAGCGCGGTGCAACAGGTAAGAAAGATTTCTTGATTTCACCCAAGGCAGGTATTTAGAAACCTTCATATAGTCATTTGCTAGAAAATGGCTTACAGCCCAATCTTTGGGGCAAGAGATATGAAAAGTATGTTTTCCCAAGAAAATAATATGCTTTGTTCCCAGACGTGACTGGAAAGACCAGAACTCATGATACAAAAGCTCTCGTTTATGTCGTCGCATCATATACAAAGGAACATGGCGATGGGCAAATGCAAATCCCAAACCTACCGACAAGAAACGTGTAACAGTGCACGATAAGTTAAATTTTTCTTTATTGTTTGTCCAACGCAGAGATCCTTTGGAGAGGAAAAAAAAGATCACAGTGCTTACCAGGTAACTGAACGGGTCGAGTCGAGGGGAGCTGTTAAAAGAGAGGGGGTTAAGGGAGCAGTTGATTTTTTTTTATATAATTTTTTTTTTTTGTTTGTTTTCTTATGGCATCTTCTCTCAGGGAGTTGTGAGCACTTGGGCCAGGTCCTTGCCCCGGCACTGGCCGTCACGTGTCGCTGGCCAGGCGGCTGTACTTCACCGGCCGGCCCCGCCGCAGCGCCGGCCAGGGCAAGGGCCAGTGGTAGGAGCGAGGTACAATGCCTTGGACATTCTTTTCAAAGTACTGGAAGGGCTTGTACCACCAGACCCTTGCGAGGAGGTTAGTTTGGGAAGCTTCTTTTAGCACCTGCGAGGAGAGAGAGAATGAGAAAGGGGAGAGTTAGGGAGGATTTAGGAAGCGCTCGCTCGCACGGCTTCGTCGGTCCTGTTTGTCACTGCTGCTCCCAAACAGCTCCCAGCAGGCCCAGAAACACCTCCCAGACAGAGCTGCACAGACAAAGATCAGGAGAAGCCAAGCTACTCTTCCACAGCCTCCCTGCACACACCCCAGTGAGGTTCACCAGCCTTTCCAAGACCTCAGTTGTTCGATGGGCCCTCAGGGAAAAAAAAAATGAATGGCCCAAAGATCAGTCTTTCCTCTCCCTTGGGAATGAAAAACCCAGCCCAAAGCACAGTTGTTACCATAAGTATCTCTGAAATTCCCTGTAGCTCAAGAATGGCTTTGGAACTTCCCAGGCAGTGAGCAAGGCACACCTCAACCCACTCAGAGCAGGTCAGGAGCCCTGCCCTGCCCTCCACGTGCTCCCAGACTGCTCCCACCCACCCTTTTCCTTCTCTTAGCCACGAGCAAGCCCCAGCTGAGACACAAGGAGTGGGCAGGCCCCCAGGGAGTTATCCAACCACCCTGCTGCATGTTTTCAACACCAGAGCCGGGAATCACCGAATCTGCCCACGGCAAAGTGCAAGCACTGGGCTTGTACACTGAGCTCTACCTCCATGTCAAGCTCACACGTAAAATAAAGCCACTTCTGCTTTTAACTTGAAGGTCAGACAGAAGCCAAAGCCCTGTGCACATGAGGAAGGAGAGGTGAGCACACAAAGGTGTGCTCAGGAAAGGATCCAGGGACTGGCATTTCCCAACATCTCAGCAGCTCAGGGAAGCAATGTTGAGCCACCTTCTGAATCACACCATGCAGCACAACAGGCATGTTTCCACACAGTAAGGCAAAGGGCTTTGCTGAAGCAAGTCCTCATTAGGACTCAGGGCAATCCTGACTGCAATGCTTCCAACTTGGAAGCACAGCCACCCAGCAACTGTTTTAACAGAGCCCAGGAGCAGATTCAAAGCCTGGAAGCCCATCTGGGGCTGTATGACAAGAGGTACAGAGTCTGAGCACAGGTTGCTATTGGACAGGGTGGCTCCCAGACTGACTGAGCAAAGTGCATCTAATCAGCAATTAGGCATTTTGGGCTAAAAACATACCACAGGGCTTGACTGTGGTGATTGCTTCAAGTAACATCAAAACCAGAGGAACAGAGAATGAGTTGTAGCCAGAAGGCCTTCAGGGGGGCTGGAACTAGATGATCTTGCAGGTCTGTTCCAACCCAGGTCATTCTATAAGAACTCTATGATACGATCTAAAACTCTGGCCTGTCACAATATTAACTCATTTCCTATCATCACAGTAGGTCTTTCTTAAACATAATTAACTGAGGCATGTGCAACACACAAGCAAAAAATCTTTCACCAAGTGCACAGAAAATATTTGGACACCAATGTGCCGTAGAAGTGAGCTTCTGAGAAGTTCAGCTTCTCTTAACTCACTCTGTCTGTTACCTGTGGCAGAGATTTGTAAATCTTGTCTCAAAGAATCAGTATCCTGAGCTGAATGGGATCCAGAGGGACCATCCACTCCAACTCCTGGCCCTGCACAGGACACCCCAACAATCTCACCATGTCCCAAACCCTCCTGGAGCTCTGGCAGCCTTGGGGCTGTGCCCACTGCCCTGGGGAGCCTGGGCAGTGCCAACCACCCTCTGGGGGAAGAACCTTTCCCTGAGATCCTCCCTTGACACAGCAGGGGAGGTTTCACATTCCTCAGCCCTGCAAGCTCCTCTCTTATTGCTCCAGTTCACTGGCAGGGAAAACCAATGACAGTAACATGAGACATCATTTAAACCTCTTTAGTCAACCTTTGATGAACCTTTTACAGCTCCTCTCTGACTGAGTATAATCATCAAGTGCTGTGTCTCCTCCTCAGCAGCTCCTTGTTCTCAGTATTTCCCTCATCACCCTATTTTCCCAGATATGGGCCTTAGGTCAGAAGCAGCCTGTTCTCAGCTGCACTGCCCTCCAAAAGGAAAACACTTTCCTTGGTCAGGAGAACTTCCCACCACTTGGACACATTTAAAAAAACTGGTTCATTTTTAGTGATGCTCTTATACTATTCCTCAAGAGGCCTGTCATCAAACTAAAGGGCACAAGCCACAGAACACAAGGAAAACCCAGCTGGCCTCAACAAACAAAAAAACCAGGCAAAGAACCCCACCATATCTAAATGGTTTGCTCTGCTAACACCAAACTGGCCCAAATTCAGAAGGATTTCAAAAACTGAGGCTATCCAGGGAAAAGCAGAGGCCTGCCTGCCTTGGGTAGACCTTCACATCTCTCTGTGGTCAAGACACAAGAAGAACCCAACCAATGATGCCTTTCTTTCCTGCAAACGTGGGTGGGTTCACTCCTGCTGGATATTTCCCCATCACCACCCCACTGCAGGCAGAGCCCCCCAGGAGTGGCAGGAACTCACTTGCTGGTTGGCCATTGTGTGGTACCACCAGAATAGCCTTGTAGTGATGTAGTAAGCCACCACCACGTCCACAGTGTAGTGGTCATGAGCAAGGAGGATGCAGAACATCCCAACCATGCTGAGTGCCCAGCAAAGCCAGTGATACCACCAGAGTCGCCGTGGGGAATCTGCAAGGAAGCACAAGCAGCAGTTATTTCAAAGTGTTATCAAGACTAGTGCTGTAATTAGCAGAGGTCATGGACTGCAATCCTGCAGGAATATCAGGAGCAGGAATGCTGAGATCACAAAATAAGTCCCATTCTCCTAAGGTGTAGCTTAAAATTGCAGTCGGGGTAAGGAGATCCTTGGACAATACAAAGGTTATGAAAGCTTGGAAGGAGATATAATATACCCTGGCCAATCTAATTAATCAATTTGTGTTTAGATGAGATATTAGGAAAAAATTCTTCCCTGGGAGGGTGGGGAGGCCCTGGCACAGGTTGTCCAGTGGAGCTGTGGCTGCCCCTGGATCCCTGGAAGTGTCCAAGGCCAGGTTGGAGCAACCTGGGCTAGTGGGAGGTGTCCCTGCCCATGGCAGGGGGTGGAACTAAATGAGCTTTAGTGCCAACTAAAAACCAACCCCAAAGCACTACAACCCTTGTGGTGAAGGGTTTCCCTAATGTCCAGCCTAACCCCACCCAGCACAACCTCAGACCCTTTCCTCTCACCCTGGAAAACACACGTATTTTAACTTTAACTGCATTTACCACCGAGCACAGCAATAATTCCCTCAGTCAGGAAGGACTGATCAGCCAGGCACTCACACTCTTTGATGAACAGGTAGGTGAGGGTGAGGATGACGGTGTGGCCGCTGTACAGGTAGTCACCACACATGTTGTGGGAGCCGGTGATGGACAATCCTCCACCAGCAATCAACTTCATTATCCTTCGCAGGTGAGATTCCCAGTCTCCAAACAGCTGGTGCAAGGGGAAAACACAAAAGTACAGTAAAATAGCAGCTTTAACCTTTCAGGTTAAAGGTTTCAAACCTTTGTTTAAAGCAAAGGGTTTAGCCAGCGACTTTGCCTTTTGGTTCTTCTCTCTTTCTGCTTTGATTCACAAGTTCAAGCAGCAAATAAATCCCCAAACTTGGCAGCACCTTTCTAGGGGGGGAAAAAACTGGAAATGAGCCATGATTTTATTGATGCTTTGCACCTATTACAGCTGGCATTCATGTGAGGTTTTCCTTCTGTTCAAGAGGCAACTCTAAAATAAATTATCTTGATAACAGCACAGGCCCTACTGATGACAATCCAACAGAAACCAGGATGAACTGTACATCCAGCTGCTGAAACCAAGACTTGATGAAGAGTATCTCACTCCAAACCCAAAGGCCACCTTGGAAAAGTCTTCAAAGTAATCTCTTTCCACCTCCCAGTCCAACAAAAACATGTGTGGTGTTTGTCAGAGCACAGTGCCCAACTTCAAGAAGTGGCAATTAATAGTTTCTGACAGACTTCAGCAGGTTCTTTGCAGGAATTAAACATTTCCTGTTAACTGTTCATTACAAACATTAAAATGCTCCCCAAAGCCCACTCTTCACAATCATATATAACTTAGTAAGGTGTTGAGAAGTTATTCTTTTCCCACCAGTGTATTTGTAGCTTTCAAGAAAACCCAGCTAATCCTTAGTCTGACTGGGGCAATGGAGGAGCACAACACAAGCTTGTCTCTATTTGAGTAATGAGAAGGATTTGCCAACACTGTAAATTCCCAAAAATGGCGATTTATTCCCTTCAGCCCATAAATACCTGTGTTCTTTTTTAATTTCATAACAGATGACTGATCAAACACTGTGTTGACTCCTCTCCCACTCCCCTCTCTTTCCAAAAGCTCTGGGTCCCTCCAAAAGCCACACGTGGCTTGGCCAACATTCTGCCTTGGCAAAGTGCTGGTGTCAGTACATTCACTGCCTTCATCTCCCTGAGGAACTGCAGCAGTTCAGCTCTCTTTGCACCTGCCAATCCTCACCAAAACAACGGCAGCACGTGCCCCAAGCCACAGCAGGATTTTACTACTTAATTTATGGCTGTGCACACAAAGACATTTTGGGTGACATGAGATGGATGCAACACCACAACCCCTGTCCCATCTCCACCCCAAGCAGCTGAATCACCCTTCCAGGCTGACCAGAAGGGTCTTGTCCAAGCACCTCTGTCCCAGTAGCCTGGTTTCATCCACGGCTTTTGCGAGCCCAGTTTATTTCCTGGCACAACAAACACGAGTCAGTGCTACACTGGGGAGGAGGTGACAAGCCCTTGTGCTACCACAACTGCAAAAATATATATATATGCAGGAGACAGAGTTCCACCAGCCTCAGAAAAGCCTCGTGGGGCCATTTTCAAACACAAATCATATTTGGATTTGACACGCTGAGGTGGTTAGAAATAAATGAGTCACGCGTGGCACACCTGCAGGCTGCACACCTTCAACTGCTTTGGTGGAGACAGAAAATTGCTGATCCTGCAAATTAGTTGAAAATGCCACAGAAGTAGTGTAAATCAGCATTTTGAAAAGGGTGGGAATGACTGCACTGCCCCAAAGCACCTGTCAACACCTCCACCAAGAGGGAAGCCAATGATCTGCAGGAGGATGTCCCTGCCAGGCCAAACCAGTGTTCTCAAATTAGAATCACAGAATGGTTCGGGTTGGAAGGAACCTTAAAGATTAGGGACACCTTCCACTAGCCCAGGTTGCTCCAAGCCCCGTCCAACCTGGCCTTGGACACTTCCAGGGATCCAGGAGCAGCCACAGCTTCTCTGGACAACCTGTGCCAGGGCCTCACCACCCTCACAGGGAAGGATTTCTTCCTAACATCCAATCTAAACCTGCTTCCTTTCAGTTTGAAGCCATTCCCCCTTGTCCTGTCACTCCAGTTCCCAATGAACAGTCCCTCTCCTATTTTCCTGTAGCCCCTTCAGACCCCTTCTCCTCTCCAGGCTGAACATTCCCAGCTCTCCCAGCCTGCCTCCACAGGGGAGGTGCTCCAGTCCCCTCAGCAATTTGGTGGTCTCCTCTGGACTTGCTCCAACAGTTCCATGTCCTTCTTTATGTTGGGAGCACCAGAACTGTGCACAGCATTCCAGGTGGGGTCTCACCAGGGCAGAGCAGAGGGGCAGAATCCCCTCCCTTAGTAACAACTCTTGAGAAAGCGTTGCTGGGGGTTTTGGGAAGAGCAGGACATGTGGGAAACACGCAGGTTAAAATCTGGAAAGGCAGCCAGAAGCAGTTTACCTTTGGAGAACACTTGAAATGCATTCCAGGTACTGGGAGCGTGGTCACATACATTGTAATACACCGGTACAGGTATAGTGTGCCAACTATACAGAAAAATCTTCTGCTAATTATAGACCTAGGAGGGGGGGGAAAGAAAAAAAAAGAGGATAAAAATAAGGAGGTCACTCAAGGCAAACAAAATACGCAAAAGGTAAATAAAACAAAACCACCAGCTGTTTTCTTCTGATGCTTTTGGAACTCGTGACAGTATCAGCTTACACCTGAGAACACTGAGCTGCCCCACAAACCTTCCCACGCCTTCCAGGTCACAAACACAAGAGCAACTACTCCAGTAACATTACCCACGGAGGTGATTACAGGAAATCTAAGGATTAGAACACAAAGGCCAGTGCAGATTGGGTGCTGAAGACATTAAAAGGGATTTCATGCCCCAAACTCCCCCATTAGTTGTGGGCTGTCACCAATTTCCTATTCAAGGCAGGGGGATAAAGTTACAGTATTTTCATTCTAAGATGAAAAGAAGGAAGTTTGTTTCAGCTGACACACATATTTAGTAATGACAAAGGGGCTCTTGAGAAGAAAGAGCTTGGATAACCCGAAGGAGTGAGAACACATCATTCCTGAGCAGCATTACAAAGGGAGCAAGTCACATCAGCAAGGAAACCTCCAAACTACAACTGCAGAGCTGCCCTGGCCACAGCACAGGGTGTCTGCAGGGGAAGCCACTCTCCAGCTGCAAAGACATTTATTACTGAGGGCTGCCAGCGAGTCCCTGGAGGGCAGATGCAGCTTTGGGGTACAGAGAGCTGGTTCTGCAAAACCAGCAAGAGCACAAGAGGGAAAGCAAGGCAGCTTGGGCTCAGGAGGGACAGCCAGCCCCAAAACTGGCCCCTTGGGTGTCACCACAGGGTAACAGCTAAGAAAACCTCAAGGAAAGAGCTACAACAATTAAAGCTCTTCTGGCACACCCATCAGAGAGACCCTAAAGAGACATCACTGCCAGGACTGCAGGAATCAAGGGCAAATCCAATTACAGCAGTTAACCACCCTTTGTGTTCTACAGACCCTGCTGGTTTTGCTTGATTTTAAATAATTATTTGCAGTTATGGTCATCTCAAGCTGCAGCTTCTGGCATTCATGGAATCACAGAATGGTTTGGGTTGGAAGGGATGTTAAAGCTTATGTTGTTCCACCCCCTGCCATGGGCAGGGACACCTCCCACTAGCCCAGGTTGCTCCAAGCCCCATCCAACCTGGCCTGGGACACTTCCAGGGATCCAGGGGCAGCCACAGCTTCTCTGGAGAACCTGTGCCAGGGCCTCCCCACCTTCACAGGGAACAATTCCTTCCCAATATGCCATCTAACCCTGCCCCTGGCAGTGGAAAGCCATTCCCCCTTGTCTTGGCACTCCAGGTCCTTGGAAATAGTCTCTCTCCATCTTTCTTGGAGGTTCCCTTCAGGCACTGCAACTCCTTTGCTGCTATTGTGTTCACTTTTAAAAAAATAGTATTCCTATCAAGCTGAGCTCTTTCAAAACTCAAAATTGTCCATCTTTTTAATTTTTAATAGCTTTTGGCAGAGTTATTAAACTGGAGAGCTCCACTCTTGGAGGAGGATGACTTTGCAGTGCCAGATTAATAACAACTTGAGTGCCTTGATTTATCAGAAAAGCATCAACTCTTACAGGGTAAACACATTTTGCACTGGAGTGCTCACTGCTCTAACACAGTATTCCCCCTTTTTTCTTCTTTCCTCTGATGTAAACATGGACCAAGACTAGAATTAAAAATTACACTTATTAATGTGGCTCCACAGACTGAAATTTAAGCATGGAAGGTACCAAGTTGTTGGGGCAGGTTTTCTCCTCTGCAGAATTTTTCTCCTGGAAGGGTGATCCAGTGAAGGTCTCACACTTGTGCCTGGCTTTTACTACTTGAATCTGCTTCTTTCTTTATAATCATAAAGGCAAACAGGGGAGTTGGGGATTAAAGACTGAGCAGCACCATATTTTAAGAGCCTGAAAAAGTGGCAGCATTTTATCGAACGCTGAACTTCTCTTTTTAATTAAAATTACCCACAAACCCATTCAATTTAGATGGATTTGGCACATTTCAGCTTGGGGAAATGTGAGAGTGCTCTGCACTGTAATACATATAAAAAAATAAATGTAAAAAGCCTCCTATTTCCCCTTCCTCAGAGGATTTGTGTGCGTGTGTGATTTAGAGCCAGTGATTATTGGCCCAGACAACTCTGTTCCAACTCTCCAGACCTCACCAGTGCACACGCTGCTTTTTCAGTCCCATGAGTGAATCAGATGTCAAGCATGGCCAAAATCCAGTGCTGTACTTCTCCCAGAACATCTGGGAATGCTTCCCAGAGAGCCTTGTTCTGCCCCAGCAGCCGGGCTGGACTCCTGGGGCTGCCCGTGGTGCCGAGTGCCCAGCCCAGACCTGCACACCCCCTCCTGCTCCTGCTCCCTGGGCACAAACCAGCCCAACTCCCTGCCAGGGACAGCCTCAGAATCCTGGGATCACAGAATGGTTGGGGTTGGAAGGCACCTTAAAGAACATCTTGTTTCATCCCCCTGCCACGGGCAGGGAAACCTGCCCAGGGAAACTAGCCCAGGGTGCTCCAACCTGGCCTTGGGCACTTCCAGGGATCCAGGGGCAGCCACAGCTTCTCTGGGCACCCTGTGCCTGTCCCAGGGGCCATGGGAACCCCTGGTTAGCTGCACATACACACCCAACACCCCCCCCCAGTTTGGCCCCAGTTCTGCAGTCCCACAGAGGAGACATGGAGGGCATATCCCACAGGATCAAGCAATCCCTGGACTGAAGGAGGAGAACCTAAGTGATGAGTATCATGAATGACACATCTCTGTTGTCCTTCTTCATGGCTTGGGAGAACAGCAGGCTCAGCTTGGACTAAATCACTATCTGCAAATAATGGATCTGGTGGGATAAACAACAGGAATTTCACTGCTTGGTGAAGAACAGTGTTTTAAAAAGCCTGAAACTGAAGCTGCCTGAAAGGTTCCACCCAGCCACTGGTTGCAATTCAACTCACAGGTCACAAAGCTGCTGCTTCACCAGTGACCCTGAGCTTGCAGGGGAGACACCCCTGACTGGTGTCTGTCACCTGAGCAGGGGAGCAGCCAGGTCTCATCCTGCCCAGCAGCCAGGGCTGCACATCTGACCTTCACATCAGAGGGGGGCAAAGCTTAACCCTGACCCATCAGAGGCCAGAGAAGTGAGGAAGGTCCACCTGGCCTAATGTACTCCCTTTGGTCTTGACTTAAGTGTCAAAGGGAAGTGATAACCCACACCACAGAAGTGATTCAGCTCTTTCTGAAGCCCCAAATCACCACCCATTTGGTGGTTCACCATCCAAAGCCACCTCCTGCTCTTGAGAGCATGTCTCCTGTTCTTCCCCTCATGCTGCTTAGCCACAGCTTGGGCTTCTCAGACTTCAGTACCTCTGCTCATGGATAGAAGATTTTTGGTGTCACGATGCATTAAATGGTGTCACAGAGCACTGTGTGACCACTCCACACACTGACCACCACTGATCAGCTATTCCAGGGCTGATACCGGGGATGGAAAGCTCTGTGACTCCCTGACACCTTCCCCTAACACCAGAAAAAGCCCCCTAAAAGGGGCTTCCCACGGCAGGAGGTTGGAATGGGATGATCTTTGAGGTCCCTTCCAACCCAAACCATTCTGTGTCTCTATAAGGCAGGTGAAAAGGAACACACTAAAGCAAGTGGGGATGGGGGGGAACCTTCACATCTGTCAATGATACCAACATATGCACCTTACCATCAAACCCAACCCACATCTCACTGCTACAAAACCTCCATGGACCTCAAGAATTCTGGTGTTCTCCCCCTAAAGGCTCTGCTCAGCTCCATCACAGGGTGTCTGATCCCTCACACCACCCATTAACCCCACGCCTCTCTCTTGAGGGCAATCCCACATCACCTTCTCCAGGAGTTTCCCTCGGCTTTGCTCAGAGACCTCAAGGAATTAATGCACCCACCAACAGGAGAGTGGTACTGAAGCTAGAACTTCCCTTCCAGGAGCTCTTACAAGTGTATAACAGTTTAAAATTTTACCTGATAAAATAAAGATGAATAAACCATCACCTCAGCCTTGTGGATTAATCTGTCCCATTCCCACAGGAATCCACAGCTGTGTCACACATCCTGCCCCAGGCTAAAAATTCTCTCCTTTTAAGCCATCTGCACCTCATTAAGTGGGTGAACCACCTGCTTGTGTTCAAGTTTTAATGTTTTGCTCCATTACAAGGGCAAGTGATTCACTGGCCACTGCTTTTATTTCTTTCAAAAAGGGAAATCTTTAATTCTAAGGCCATTCCCAAGCCCCGTGAACCAAAGGATCTTGTATTTCACATGGTGGGGCCCAAATTATGTTCCTTCCTCAGTTTTCTACATAGAAGTCACCAAAAAGTCAGTGAACAGGTAGAGAATGAGATGTATCAGCAGAGGAGAAAAGAAGAGAAGCCCCTCTGGGCAACTGTGGGGCTGTGCTGGTGCCTGGCTGTGGAAAGGAAAGGTGTTATGCCACCTCTTACTGCTTAACCTGCCTGACTTTGAACACTTCATTTAGCACGAGGGTTTACATCAGACACTCGAGGTCAGGCAGCCCAAGGTGTGCATTTCCAGCTCTATAAATACCTCGCATTAAACATCCACGTGCCCTCTGAGGAGGGGAAGTGGCAGGTTAATATTCCACTGCAAGGCAAATTCACCCTTGCAACTGTGACCAGTATGAGCAAGAGGCTGGGACAAGCACTGAGACCTTCCAAATTCAGTGCAGATCTAGGCTTTTGCTTATTTTATGATTGGCTTTTGGACATCCCTCGTGTTTGATGTTACCTGCCCCACCCAATGGCAAGAAGAGAAGGCACTTCAGTGCTTTTCCCACGCAGCAATATTCAGGTGCACAGGCTAATCCCCCACCTGCTGCTTTTGTGCAGGAGTTTTAGGGTAGGGCTTTAGGTCAGGCAAAGCACAGAGACATTAAATCACAGAATATACACAGCTGGAAGGGATCCATACTATAATCAAGTTAAACTCCTGGCCCTGACCCTCAGAGCGTTGTCCAAACCCTCCTGGAGCTCTGGCAGCCTTGGGGCTGTGCCCACTGCCCTGGGGAGCCTGGGCAGTGCCAACCACCCTCTGGGGGAAGAACCTTTCCCTGAGATCCAACCTGACCTTGCCCTGACACAGCTCCAGCTGTTCCCTCGGGTCCTGGTTCACAGCTGCCCTCACAACAGTGTGAGCTGTGCTCCTTCTAAACAAACAGAACAAGCAACTGAGTTCAGAACATATTTCACCCAGTTGCACATAAAAAGGGCTGCAGTTAGTTGTGCAGACAAGCACAACCAGGGGTATTATTTAGTTTCTTAGGGAATAGTTGGATCAAACTTCTGCCTTTTGCACAGGCAGCTCGCACTGCACGGTACCTATTTCAGTTTTGGAAACCCAAATCAGGAGATCACAAGAAGCTTCACTTCACTTGGATGCAAACCAGCCCCTCCCCTCCAAAAGCTGTCAGTTTTCTGAAGGTTTTACTTACTTGTACTTTAAGAGCAGCCACTGAACAAACCACAGTCCTACAAGGATCATGCCGTTGATTTCACAAATAGAAAAAGCCCATTGCACCCGATCAAAGCGATCAAAAAATGCGTCTGGGAGGGGAGGCTGCACCTCCTTGGGAGGCACTCGTTCGTGGACGACTGAGATAGTCACTGTGGTAAAGACGAAACAAGAAAGTGCATAAATAAAAGCCAGGAAAGTCTTGCCCCACTCCATGGGGTACTGCGAGCGCTCCGGCTCTGGCATGGGGATCTTTATCATCTCCTTCTTGAACCCGTTTGGCACCCCGTTGAGCTTCGCCTTGCCGCCGAAGCCGTTCTCGCCGCCGCCGCCGCGGATGTGCCCGTTGGCGTGGCCGTTCTTGTGAGCCTCCATGTGGTGAGCCATTTTCAGAGTCTCGATCATGTGCAAAAGCCGCTGGCCGCTGTCGGAAGACACCCGGGACAGAGGCGTCCTCTTAAAGTCCTCCTCCGTCAGGTCGATGAGGTCCCGCCCGGTGAAGCCCCTCAGGGGCTCGCAGTACTCGGGCACTGCGTTCTCCATCAGCCAGCCGGTCACCTCCTCGGGCGACCACAGCACCACCTCTTTCATCTCGCCAGGCAGCCGGGGCACGGTCTGGCATGGATCTCACAGGGGGCAGCGCTCACTGCCACTCCAGAGCGCTGGGAAGCTCCTCCTTGGCTTCATCCTGTCCCAGGATCCGGCCGGAGGCGGGTGCCCGTCTCTAACCCGCCCACAGGAGCATCCGGGCGCCCTGGCAGAGCATAGGAGTCACTTCACTTCATATTCGTGTTGGCATTCTTCTTCCTGGGGAGGGGAAACACCCAAAAGCACTCGTTAGGACAGCGTTTTGTTGGCAGTGCAGGGACAAAGACAAAACTCCTGCAGAAGAACACCTCGATTCTGCATGGAAAAGACCAACTCATTTGAGCTCCAGCCTTGGACACACAGCACTGTCCTTCCCAGCTTTGCTGCTGATTCCTTAAGAGCTTTAACACCACTTTGCAGCTGTGGGAAGACTCCTGCCTGCTCTGTAGTTGTTGCATTTTCCATTGCTGTGCAGTTCTGGTCCATAACCAGCATCCAAACTCCTCTTACAATCCTCATACTCACGGATTTAAGGATCTACAGAGGGAATGTTCAGCATTATTCATGTCAGAAGCCTTTTCTCCCCTCACAGACCGGTACCTTAATGCAATGTTTTGCACTAGTGATTGAACATGAAGCCTGGTTTTTGTTCTGCAAGGCAAAACCCACAAAATCCCAGAATGGTTTGGGCTGGAAAGGACCTTAGAGACCATCTCATTCCCACCCACTGCCATGGGCAGGGACACCTTCCCCTAGACCAGGTTTGCTCCAAGCCCTGTCCAGCCTGGCCTTGAACACTTCCAGGTGCCATATCTAATGTACCAGGTCACCAACACTCAAAAATCATGCAAGGATCTACTCTCTGGGCCAAAACACCAGCAGGAAAATCAGTGTCCAAACAGATGAGCCCAAAAATAAAGCATTTAGGTTTGCAGGTGTTTAGCAGCTCTTTGAGGTAGATTTTACTGTTTCCATGGCATAGTGCTACAATTCAAAGAATTGTTTTCTATCAGCTAAAAAAAGGAACCAGGAGGAAAATAAAACTTTAAAAGAAAAGACGAACTAGGTAAGAAACTTCTGCACCCAGTGAATTACAAAAATAGCTTAGAAAAGCTGGTCACTTCCAATACAAAAGGTACAGGAAAACAGATGTTACTTCCTGAATTTTTGAGGCACAAGCAGCAAAAGAGGTTGTGGTCCCATGGCAGTGACCACCACCAGCAAACCCCCACGGCTGAGACATTTATTCAACCAACCAACAAAAACTGGTCCTCCCCAGAGCAAAGGGAAGAGACCAGTGAACCCCCCTTGTCTCCAACCTGCCATCCCACAGACCACGTGTGAGAAAGAAAGTAACAGCATGGGGAAAAAAAATGTATTTTGAAAAGTCACATCAAGCCTTTATCAGCTTCAAGAATATTTTTAGCCTCTTACAGGCTACCAAGTGTTTGTGTTTCATTGCAGGGAGCAAAGCTGTGACTGAGAAAAACCAAAATAATTTACTCTACTGGCAAGATTGGAGGTGAGGTGGTTCAGAACAGATACAGAGCTTTACTCCTGTACAAACATGGCCACACTGCACACCAATGTGTTTTTTGACCTGTTGCCTCTGAACTCAGCAGGAAACACAGGGTGCAGTTTTCAGTCTGTTTTTCCCTGGAATGAACCATGATGGTTGAGAAAAAAAAAGAGCTCTGGAGGAAGGACTGGCAGTACTTTGAATAGGGCACCTCTCCCTTGCTGGGACATATTTAAATCCGTGGAGCAAACCAGGGATGGAGATGACTCTTCCACCTTGTGAATATCTGTGTTGTTTTAAAACAGAAGGGAAGATGCAGCTCTATTTTCTTTTTTTTTTTCCTCAGTACCAAGAAGGTTTTCAGCCACAGATTGCTTCATTATTCAAGTTGTGTTTAGCAAATCAGTATTTAGTTACAGAGCTCTGAACATGGAAATAGGACTGAATTATGCATGGTAACCCACATTAGAAGCTCCTACAAGGCTGGCACTGAAGGAGAGCAGCTCGGCTCTCCACTGTGCCTATCTCTGTGTGCTCACTGTACTTGAGGTATCCCAGGGCACAAAAATTCCCAACTAATCCTAACAGACTTCTCCACGGGCTTCTTCTTTCCAAGGATGATGCCTTACAATGCTGTTAAAGCCTAAGTTATTTATTTTTTAATGCTGTTACAACACCTGGTCTGCAGCAGGGCCTCAGCTTCCCGTGCTGTTCCACGGCTCCACTGCTGCCTCTCCAAGTTGTGTGTTACAAACCCAGCCTGGCTTGGGCTGCCAGAGCACCCTGTGTACACCACGAGGGGGGGCAACATTAAACCTTTTCAACTTCAAACACTGGAGTGACTGAATCCCAGTTTCCAGGCAAACCCTGAACCATTATCCTCCCAACAAACCGGCTTTCTGTCCACTCCCTGACGACATTCTTAAGGACTCACAATCCCAAAGACACAGGGCAAAGGGCTCCATCCATCACTGCTTAGGAGCCTGTAGCCAACCTTCAAACTACATCTCAACAGCCAGGAAAGGTTTAGACTGGACAGTAGGAAAAATGTCTTCACTGAAAGGCTTGTCCAGCCCTGGTGGTGTCACCAGCCCTGGTGGCATTAAAAGATGTGTGGATGTGGCACTTGGGGACTGTGTTTTAAACTCACCACCAGCGATGCTATTTAAGGTACCACACGAAGAATAAAGACTGCTTGACTCCAACTTCTGTAACTTCATGGATTATGAAACATAAATCTATCTCCTAAGAGTCTTAAAAACAAGAAATCCCCTCTCACAGGCAGAGGCACAGACATCCAGCCCACCTCGTGCTGGATGGATGGAAGAGGATGGTGAGGGGTTCACCAAGGAGCTACTGAGCAGAAAGTTCAGTCCTGAGGGCTGACATTTCTGGGAGCACGAGCCAGGTGCAATCCCAGCCCGCTGCTCTCACACCACCAGCGTGTAAATCACTATCAAGAACCTTTTGTAAAAGCAGAGTAACTGATACTCACGGGAGGAAGGCTCAGAGGAAAGACAATACTCTGTGCCAAGGACACAGGCCACGGAGTTGTTTTCATTGAGAGTTAAAATGAGGAGAACCAACTAGAATTTCTAACATCACCTACCACTCAAGCCTCTGTTTCACAGCCTGTCTAATGGAGGAGGAACAGGCGAAAAAGCTTCTTTACGAACACCTTCCAGCTTGTCACATTAAAAATTCCTTGTTCCCTATGGTGTATCTGTGACAGCTTGATCAGGTAAGGTTTGCAGAAACTGTACAGGAGACTAACAACCCTCACTGACCCCCCTGTTGCCACAAAAGGTCTCATCCTCTCCACAAAAGGTGGGGACCAGCATCGGCTGCTGCCAGGCCACGTCCATGGGTTCAGCTCCATCCTACAAGGATGGGCACACAAGCATCCCCAGCTCTGACACGAGCTCTTTAGGCTGGGCCAGGCCACTGAAACACTCCCTCCATCTGCAGCAGAGCTGCTTCATTAAGGAATTATAAATAACAATGTGATTACCACAATAATGCCAACTGCACTATGATAATGATGCCGTGTAAAACCGGCGTCTCAAAATACCCGGCACAAGACCCAGCGGGATGAAACAACCTCATCAAGGGTTCCAGGTCCCACCTCCTCCTCTTTACATGACCTCTTTCCCCCCTTGTTCCCAGCAAACACTCAAGTGCTAACTCAAACCATCAGGAGTAATTGCCACCACCACTTCAATCTGCACGTCTGTGGTTCTAACCCCCTGACCACAGCAGCTGGAACAAGGATTTGAGAGGGCACTAACTATACACAACCTTGGCTATCAAGACCTGTTCTCTTCTGCACTGCTTTGCAGAGGTGCTGTTGGGCACAAGGGCTGAGTGTGGGAGCAACCAACTCATTGGTTAAAGGGTGAGATAATGAGCCACAAAATCATCAGCTGGTTACACCTCCACACTTAGAATCATGGAACGGTTTGGGTTGGAAGGGACCTTAGACATCATCTTGTTCCACCCCTCTGCCATGGGCAGGGACACCTTCCACTAGCCCAGGTTGCTCCAACTCCCTCCAACCTGGCCTTGGACACTTCCAGGGATCCAGGGGCAGCCACAGTTTCTCTGGGCAACCTGTGCCAGGGCCTCCCCACCCTCACAGGGAACAATTCTTTCCCAGTATCCCATCTATCCCTGCCCTCTGGCAGTGGGAAGCCATTCCCCCTTGTCCTGTCTCTCCATCCCTTGTCCCAGTCCCTCTCCAGCTCTCTTGGAGCCCCTTGGAGCCCCTTTAGGCCCTGGAAGGGGCTGAGAACAAGACACAGGTTTGGGGTGTTCTTGCAAGCAAAAAGCATTAAGTCTTGCCATTAACACTGATAAGAGAAAAACACATTCAGTAGCAAAAAAAAAAGACCCCCAAACCCAGTCTGCCCACCTCCAAACTCCTCCTTAAACACTTTGAAACTCGACTGAAGAAAACCAAAGTCCTCCCAAATCAAATCACGCCTTCCTTTTACTCTCTAAGCTTTGCTGCCAAGGCAACAGTCACTATAGAAATCAGTAAAATCCTCAGCCATTTCAGCAGCTCCTCACCAGGAGCCAGGGAGATTTTCCAGTCCTTCCAGAGGCAGTGGGTGTGTTTCACTTGCAACCCTGAGTGCCCTTCCCAAACACCCCAGGGAAGTTGAGATGATCCCACCACCAGGGAACAACAGAGTTCAAATGAGCAAGGTCCAGGGATAGGCACAGATGGGAGACACAACAGTGACCTTTTGTGTTTGGAAAACAGACCCTGAGATTTACACTGATTACACGTGCACACAAATAACCAGGAGAAATCCAACTGCTGTAAGGATTGGAGGACTTAATGCTTTATAAACCAACCCACAAGGGAATTCCCCAGCCCCACTGGTGAGCAGGAGTTACACAGGGGCTCTTGTCCTGCCTTTTTACAGCACAAAAACTGTTACAGCAGGGTCTGAGTCACTGCTACAGTCACCTCCTCTACAGGCATTTTATCATCACCAACAATAACACTGACACCTCAATAACTGGACGTCCTGTCCTGGACAAGCACCTCTGCACACCAGTGTGTGATGCCTGCCACAAATTATGTGCTGGACAGCACTAATGAGCTCTCAAGCAATGTTTCCCTCTCTCCAGGGCAGCCTTGCCACCAAACCAGGATCAATCACCCCTTACAAGGGACTGCTGGCACTCTAAA